TTTGAATTAGTTTTGAAACATTGTGTATTCCATTCAGCGAAATAAAATACGATAATTCGTGAAACGGCTGGAATATATAGAAAAAACGTTAAAAAGTAGCGGATCTCTAACGTGATGAGAAATTAACATTAATGTAATTTTGAAATGTTATTACAAGCTGCCTCTTAACCGAAGGCCTTGCTGTTTAATAATATCAATAATTTATAAAAATTTAATAATAAATTTTTAGTATTATTTGATATTTCAGAAAAATTGGGACAAATGTAACAAATTAATTAGGCAGCACCCATTATATATCTGCGAAAATGCCGAGCGGAACATTTTTGATGAATGAGTTTTCGATTATGAATCTATCTGTGAATTTTTGTGAATAACATTGACAAAAAAATTGACGCATTCCGACAAAATAATAAATAAAATAAAACAACTTGCATTTACTGCAAACCGTACAAATCATATATAAAAATGATACCTTTAAATAATAAAATAACACTTTTATGATGAAATTATTTAATTTATATGATTTATTTATGATGAATGCATCATGTATAACAAAAAACATTTCTTGAACAAACATAATTTTAAAATTTAAACTGATATATTTCACCGACAATTAAATGTATTACATTCGGAAACTATTACAGAAGTTATAATAAGAAATTGACACTATATAGAGTACAGATAATAATGAAAATACATTAAAAAATTTCAACATGCGTCAAAATATACAAATTATAAAAAACTTCAATATTTGAAATTAAATTATACTGTAAATTGTCGGTATTCTTCTTTTTTCAGAAATGTCGACAATTATTTCATTAAATTGTTTCAATTAATAAATTTAAGAATATAGTTTATAAATTTGAAGCATAGTAAAATTTATTATTTCAATTAATAAATTAAAATCGTTAAAATTAAAACTGCCATTATTGCTGGTTGTGATGTAACTTGGATGCCGTTACCATCATTTTCCATTGTCAACTTCCGGATAAATCTATATAAACAGTAATTATACATAATAATTAATGTAATGTAAAATTATTTATACATAATAATATTAAAAATAATATCAATGAAACTTACGGACATTTGTTCATTCTATATAGTTAGCGTGCCAAATGATGTTCATTCTTAATATAGTCATTTTAATTAGTTCTAATAGCAACGATTATGTATCAGTGACAAATATTACATTCTGCTTCAAAACATTACTTTTGGTACATTATTTCCATAACCAACTCTGAAATGTATGCTTTTTAACAGTTTCTTAGAATGCGAGTAATCTTCTAAACTTTCAGAGAAGTAAAATAATTTCATTACAATTTTAATGAGTTGGAATATATAAAATATATCTTGATGATCCGTAAACTTTAGTAATTTTGTTTCAGAGTAAAAATTTTTACATGCATTTTTTTATATGTAAAACCTAAGGTGCACATTTCTTTAACAATATATAACAATCTTTCAATGTACAGACAGTCCGTTTGAAGTGATAAAACGCATTTTGACGAACCAACTGTGTTACGTGTTTCCTTAATTTGTATTTTTCAATTTGTCCGAATGTGTCATTTTTATATGAGAAATCAGTTGCGGTTGAACATCAAGAGCGTAATTCTTGTGACAAATATTACACTCCGCTACAAAATCATCTTTTTTTGTCAAATATTTGTATGGCCAACTGCAAAGGATATGATTCTTTCGTTGTTTTTCAGAATGCGAACTCAAGTGATTTTCTATAGATTCTGATGTAGATTGAATCTTTGCATTACAAATAATACATTGTGAATATAATTTGTTTGAATACTTGAAATACATCCATGGCAATTTTATTCGTTTTTTCTCTTCTTCATATTTCCAAATTTTTCTATGATGTCTTGCAATATGAATTCGGAAAGTATCAACGGTTATATAATAATATTTTTTTTCACAAAATATGCATTGCGCTTTAAAATTTGGCAGTTATACATAATATTTTCACAGATGCTTTTTATTTACAATAGTTAGTGACTTAGACGTTGTGTCCGTTTTGAAGTGATGAAACGCATTCTAATGAACCAACTGTATTACGTGTTTCTTGCGTATTTTTCAATTTGTCCCAATGTTTCTTTTTTATATGAGCGTCCAAATAATTATAAATAGCAACAGGTACATTTTTATTACAAATATTACACTCCACCACAAAATCATCTCTTTTTGTCGAATATTTATATTGCCAACTGCAAAGGATATGATTCTTTCGTTGTTTTTCAGAATGTGAACTCAAATGATTTTCTACAGATTCGGATGTACACAGAACATTTGCGTCACAAATAATACACTGTGAATGTGATTTGTTTAAATACTTGAAGTACATCCATGGAAATTTTATTAGTTTCCTTTCTTGTTCGTATTTCAAAAATTTTTCATGATAGTTTTCCATATGCTTATTGAAATTTCCATTGTTTATATAATAATATATGTTTTCACAAAACATGCACTGCGCTTTAAAATCCGGCATTCTAACAAAGTATTTCTACAAATGCTTTTTAATTACAATAGTTAGTGACTTAGACGTTGTGTTTGTTTGAAGTGATGAAACGCATTCTGATGAACCAACTGTGTCATGTGTTTCTTGCGTATTTTTAATTTGTCTCAATGTTTTATTTTTATATGAACATCCAAGTAATCATGAACATGAAGAGATATATTCTTATTACAAATATTACACTCCGCTACAAAATCATCTCTCTTTGTCGAATATTTCCATGGCCAACTGCGAAATGTATAATTTTCCCGTTGTTTTTCAGAATGTGAACTCAAGTGATTTATACATATTCGAACGTAGACAGAACATGTGCATCACAGATAACGCATTGTGAACATAATTTGTTTAAATATTTGAAAAACATCCATGGTCCTTTTATTATTGTTTTCTTTTCTTCGTATTTCCAAATTTTTATATGATTTATTGCCATATGTGGTTTTAAGTATTTATCTCTTAAATATATATGTTTATTTTCGCAAAACTTGCACTGTGCTTCAAAATCCGATAGTTTTACATAATATTCCCACACATGTTTTTTATTTGTAATATTTAGTGATGTAGACATTATGTCCGTTTGAATTGAATAGACGCATGTAACTGAATACGATGAACTAACACGAACTGATACAAGAACCTTCCTGTTGATGAGTATAATAGAAAACGAAAGAAAACGCATAATTATTTTTCACTTGAATGTAAATACTAATTTGTCGGTCAAATCTAGCTAACAACGATCAAAACACGCAGTAACATCTAATGCCGAGTATGTATACACGGGGAAAAATTTATATCAAAAATTACTATGTACGGCATTAACCGCGGACCATAAACCTGTGAATTCAAAATTTTTACTATGTTTCACATGTAAAAAACATAGTACAAATTTTTATAATTCCTTCATGATCCGCGGCTACTGTTGTACATAGTAATTTTTTATATAAAATTTTTCCGTGTAGTAATAATATCTCAGCGAAATAAACAGCGCGTATCTTTTACACGAATATTTTTTAAGAAATAATGTATTATATAAACAAATAATATATTATCTATGTGTATTAAATAAAATTACTTTTAAATTTATACTACTATACCAAAGAAATTTATTAAACTATATCAAGAAAAACGCAATTTTTTTAAAATTATTTATGTTGCATTAAATGCAATTGATATACTCACTGCAAAAATAATTTCATATGATTGACTCAATAAATATCGTATAAAAAATTATTATGTATATGCATTTAACCACCTAATTTATTTTCAGATATGGCATTATCGTCAACATTTTTTACAAAAATGGCCCGATTTATTGGTTTAAATTTCGTACTACATCATTTTATTTTTATTTGCTCAATAATAAAAGTTTTTAATGTGCTTTTATTTGCTTTAATTTAATCTTAATTACTCGTAATAAAATAAAGATTATTTAATATTTTAATATTTTATTTGGTTTGAATATTAAAATTACAATGCACTTTGACAGTTATTCGTTTGCGTGCAAAAATAATTTTGGATTTTTTAATAATAAAAAATATATTGAATGAAAACAAAAGTTATGATAAGTTTCATGGTAGAGAAATGAATTAAGTAATTTTAATAAACTGGACACTCTAGCGCTCACTATACGCGCCATTTATTTTTTTAGTTATAAGGAATTATTTATTATAACTATGTTTAATAAAAATAATATTTTATCACTATTATTTATATATTATTATATCATCATTGTCGCAATTTGTAGTACTATTTAACACAAGTCTTGTTATTCACGTGTAAAAATATATTAAAATTACGTAAAGTTGTGATTAGGTTATTACATAAAAGTATAGTCTAGAATAATTGGAAAATAAATAATCGGACCGAATTTCTAGTGAGCATTAATATTATACCATTATTAAACCATTACGTCTTTGTTTTCAGAAAAGATTTAACGAAAGAATTCCGAAATGTATCAAAGAAAACACTTTGAATATTTTTTATCAAACACAAAACAATAATTGCAAACCGTATAAATCATATGTAAAAATTAATGTTTAAGCAGAAAGATTAATATCGCGGAAGAAAAACAACAATGAAAATTTATCATGCCTTCTTTAAGATAGGATACTGATAAACACTGCAATTAATTTTATCAACAAGTCTATCTATTTCGCTTTTCTCTACATGTAATAATATACGCAATAAGTTTGGTAATAAATTTCATAATAGTGCACTCGTATAATGTAAAGTACATTGTGACGTTTCATGCTAAGGAATGAAACAATCACGATCACAAAATGATAATGCTGCTTGATTACAATTTTTGTGATATAACATTGTAAATATTTCCGACAATAATTTTTCAGTCATTTTTTATCTTAAATTATTATTATCCTAATACCGATGCAATTACGCATGTTGCCTCTACTCGGAGCGATTATCTCCTTGACATCTTCAGAATCTTCCGCTTTGCAACCTTCTTATCGAAGAACACGGACGTTTCTATCAGAAAAATTCTCAGTTTTCATTTGCAGACTTCAGCTTTTAAATTAGTTTTCAAACATTGTGGATTCCATTCAGGGAAATAAAATACGATAATTTCTGAAATGGCTGGAATATATAGAAAAAACGTTAAAAAGTAGCGGATCTCCAACGTGATGAGAAGGTAACATTAATGTAATTTTGAAATGTTATTACGAGCTGCATCTTAACCGAAAGCCTTGCTGTTTAATACTATAAATAATTTATTAAAATTAATCAATAAATTTTTATTATTATCCAATATTTCAAAAAAATTGGGACAAAGGTAACAAATTAATTCTACAGCACCTATTATATAACTTCGAAAATTCCGATTGGATAGTTTTTGATAAATGAGTTTTTGATTATGATTCTATTTGTAAATTTGTGTAAATAACACTGACAAAAAAATTGACGCATTTTGATAAAATAATGAAAGAAATGAAAAGTAAAACAATCTGCATTTGCTGCAAACCGTACAAATCATATATAAAAATGATATCTTTAAATAATAAAATGACACTCTCTTATGATGTATTTATTTAATTTATATGGCGATTTATTTATGATGAATGCATCATGTATAACATAAACATTTCCCAAAGAAACATAATTTTAAAATTTAAACTGATATATTTTACTGACAGTTATATGTATTACATTCGAAGATTTTTACAGTAGTTATAATAAGAAATTGGCACTATATAGAGTACAAAAATTAATGAAAACATATAAAAAAATTTCAACATGCGTCAAAATTCACAACTTATATAAAACTTTATCATTTGAAATTATACTGTATATTGCCGGTATTTTTCTCTTTACAGAGATGTCGATGATAATTTCATTAAATTCTTTCAATTAATAAATTAAAGAATATAGTTTATAAATTTGGAACATAGTAAAATTCATAAATATAATTAATAAATTAAAATCGTTAAAATTTAAACTACCAATACTGCTGGTTGTGATGTAATTTGGATACCGTTACCATCATTTTCCATTGTCAACTTCCGGATTAATCTGTATAAACAATAATTATACATAATGATTAATGTAATGTGAAATTAATTTTACATAATAATATTAACAATAATATCAATTAAATTTACGAACATTTTTTCATTTAATGTAGTTAACTTGCCAAATGATGGTCATTCTTAATATAGTCATTTAAATTTATTCTAGTAGCATCGAATTTGTGTATTCGCGACAAATATTACATTCTGCTTCAAAACATCACTTTCGGTACAGTATTTCCATAGCCAACTCTGAAATGTATAATTTTTTAACTGTTCCTTAGAATGCGAGTAATCTTCTAAACTTTCAGATAAGTAAAATGTTTTCATTACAATTCTATGAAGTTAAAATATATAAAATAAATCTTGATCCGTGTAAACTTTAGTATTTTTGTTCAAGAGTATAAATTTATACATGCATTTTTTTATATGCAAAACCTAAGGTGGACATTTTTTAACAATATATAACAATCATTCAATGGTATAGACAGTCCGTTTGAAGTGACAAAACGCGTTCTGATGAACCAACTGTGTTACGTGTTTCATCAATTTGTATTTTTCAATTTGTCCGAATGTGTCATTTTTATATGAAAAATCAGTCCTTGGTAAATACCAAGAGCGAAATTCTTGTAACAAATATTACACTCCACTACAAAATCATCTCTTCTTGTCATATATTTATATGGCCAACTGCGAAGGATATGATTCTTTCGTTGTTTTTCAGAATGCGAACTCAAATGATTTTCTGTAGATTCAGATGTAGATCTAACATTTGCATTACAGATAATACATTGCGAATATAATTTGTTTGAATACTTGAAATACATCCATGGCAATTTTATTCGTTTTTTCTCTTCTTCGTATTTCCAAATTTTTCTATGATGTCTTGCAATATGAATTCGGAAAGAATCAACGGTTATATAATAATATTTTTTTTCACAAAATATGCATTGCGCTTTAAAATTCGGCAGTTTAACACAATATTTCCACACATTCTTTTTAGTTACAATAGTTAACGACTTAGACGTTGTGACCGTTTGAAGTGATGAAACGCATTCTGATGAACCAACTGTGTCATGTGTTTTTTGCGTATTTTTCAATTTGTCCCAATGTTTTCCTTTTATATGAACATCCAGGTTAGCAGGAACATGAAGAGATACATTCTTATTACAAATATTACACTCCACTACAAAATCATCTCTCTTTGTCGAATATTTCCATAGCAAACTGCAAAAAATATGATTCTTTCGTTGTTTTTCAGAATGTGAACCCAAATGATTTTCTACAGATTCGGATGTAGACAGAACATTTGCGTCACAAATAATACACTGTGAATGTGATTTGTTTAAATACTTGAAATACATCCATGGCAATTTTATTAGTTTCCTTTCTTGTTCGTATTTCAAAAATTTGTCATGATAGTTTTCCATATGATTATAGAAATTTCCATTGTTTATATAATAATATATGTTTTCACAAAACATGCACTGCGCTTTAAAATCCGGCAGTTTAACAAAGTATTTCCACAAATGTTTTTTAGTTACAATAGTTAGTGACTTAGACGTTGTGTTTGTTTGAAGTGATGAGACGCATTCTGATGAACCAACTGTGTCATGTGTTTCTTGCGTATTTTTCAATTTGTCCCAATGTTTTACTTTTATATGAACATCCAAGTAATTATGAACCTGAACAAATACATTCTTATTACAAATATTACACTCCACTACAAAATCATCTTTCTTTGTCGAATATTTCCATGGCCAACTGCGAAATGTATGATTCTCCCGTTGTTTTTCAGAATGTGAACTCAAGTGATTTTTTACATATTCGAATGTAGACAGAACATGTGCGTTACAGATAATGCATTGTGAATATGATTTTCTTAAATATTTGAACGACATCCATGGCCCTTTTATTATCGTTTTTTCTTCTTCGTATTTCCAAATTTTTATATGATGATTTGCCATATGTGTTTTTAAATCTCCATCTTTTAAATATATATGTCTATTTTCGCAAAACTTGCACTGTGCTTCAAAATCCGATAGTTTCACATAATATTCCCACACATGTTTTTTATTTGCAATATTTAGTGATGTAGACATTATGTCCGTTTGAAGTGACGCGTGTAACTGAATACGATGAACTAACAAGAACCTTTCTGATACAAGAACCTTTCTGTTGATGAGTATAGTAAAGAACGAGATAAGACGCATAATTATTTTTCACTTGAATGTAAATATTGATACATCGCACAAATCTAGCTAGCAATGATCAAAACACGTGGTAACATCTTATGTCAAGTATGTATACACGAAAAAAATTTTATATTAGAAATTACTATGTACTGTATTAACCGCGGACCATGAAGTCGCGAATCAAAAATATTCACTATGTTTCTAATGTGAAAAATATCGTAAAAATTTTTTATAATTTTTTTATGATTCGCGGCTACTGGCGTACATAGTAATTTTTGATATAAAATTTTCTCTGTGTAGTGATAACATTTCAGCGAAATAAACGTAACAGCGCGTATCCTTTACACAAATATTTTGTAAGAAATAATGTACAAATAATATATTATCTATGTGTATTAAATAAAATTACTTACAAATTATGGCTGCATCAGAGAAATTTAGTTGGCTACATCAAGAAAAACGCATTTTTTTTTAAATTATTTATGCTGCATTAAATGCAATTAATATACTCATTACAGAAATAAATACATATGATTGACTCAATAGATATCGCATAAAAAATTATTACGTGTATGCATTTAACCACCTGATTTATTTTCAGATATGGCATTATCGTCAACTTTCTTTACAAAAACGTTTCGATTTATTGGTATAAATTTTGTATTACTTTATTTTATTCTTATTTGTTCAATAATAGCTGTTTTTAATGTGCTTTAATTTGCTTTTATTTAATCTTAAATACTCGTATTAAAATGAAGATTTTTGAAATATTTTATTTGATATTTTATTTTGTTTGGATATTTTTGTTAACACACACTTTGACAGAGTTTTTCGTCTGTGTATAAAAATAAATTTGACATTTTTTAATAATATAAAATATATTGAGGGAAGGCAAGAGTTATGATAAGTTTTATGGTACAGAAATGAACTAAGTAGTTTTATTAAATTTGACACACCAGCGCGCACTTTATTTTTTTAGTTACTAAAATTAGGATAAAAAATTACTTAATAATTATTGTCGGAAATATTTACAATGTTATATGACGAAAAATGTAATTAAGCAGCATTATCATTTCGTGTCAATACGCGCCATTTATTCTTTTAGTTAGAAAGAATTATTTATTGTAATTATGTTTAATAACAATAATATTTTATCACCGTTATTTATATGTTATTATATGGTCATTGTCGCAATTTGTAGGACTTTTTGACACGAATCATGTTATTCACGTGTAAAAATATATAAAATCTACTTAAACTCGTGATTAGGTTATTACATAAATGTATAGCGTAGTATAATTTAAAAATTAACAATTGGGTCGAATTTCTAGTGAGCATTTATATTAAACCAATAAAGTTACGTCTCTGACTGCAAAAATGAGTTAAACAAAAAATTTGGAAATGTATTAGAGAAGAAACTTTGAATATTTTCTGTAAAAACAATAACCGCAAACCGTATAAGTCATATGTAAAAATTAATGTTTAAGCAAAATAATTAGTATCGCGAAAGAAAGGTCACAATAAAAATCTTCCATGCTTTTTCTAAGATAAGATATTGATAAAAACTGCAATTAATTTCATTAACAAGCTTATCTATTCCGTTTTTATTTACATATAATAACATAATAATATACGTATATGTCAAAATAATAATGCTGCTTGATTGCAATTTTCGTGATATGACATTGTAAATATTGCCGACGATAATTATTAAGTAATTTTTTATCCTAAATTATTATCATCCTAATACCGATGTTTTTACGCATGTTGTTTCTACTCATAGCGATTGTCTACTTGACATCTTTGGAATCTTCCGGTTTGCAACCTTTTTACCGAAAAACAAAAACATTTTTATCAAAAAAAATTCCAATTTTTACTTGCAGACTTCAGCTTTTGAAATATTAGTCAAACATTGTGGATTCCATTCAGGGAAATAAAATGCAATAATTTTTTAAACGGTTGGAATATATAAAACAGACGTTAAAAAGTAGCAAATCTATAACGTGATGAAAAATAACATTAATGTAATTTAAAATGTTATTACGGGCTGTATCTTAACCGCAAGACATTGCTGTTTAATAATATCAATAATTTATTATAATTTAACAAAATTTTTATTATTATCTGATATTTCAGAAAAATTGGAACAAAGGTAACAAATTAATTCAGCAGCACCTATTATATAACTTCAAAAATTCCGAACAGAACGATTTTGATGAATGAGTTTTTGATTATGATTCTATTTTCGTTTTTATGAATAACATTGACAGAAAAATTTACGCATTCCGATAAAATAATAAATTAAATAAAAAGTAAAACAACCGGCATTTACTACAAATCGTACAAATCATATGTAAAAAAGATATCTTTAAATAATAAAATGACACTCTCTTATGATGAATTTATTTGATTTATATGGTGATTTATTGGTGATGAATGCAACATGTATAACATAAACATTTCTCAAACAAACATAATTTTAAAATTTAAACTGATATATTTTACTGACAGTTAAATGTATTACATTTGGAGACTTTTACAGTAGTTATAATAAGAAATTGGCACTATATAGAGTACAAAAAATAATAAAAGCATATAAAAATTTTTCAACATGCGTCAAAATACACAAATTATATGAAACTTAAATATTTGAAATTAAATTATACAGTAACTTGTCGGTATTTTTTTCTTTACAGAAAAGTCGACGATTATTTCATTTACTCGTTTCAATTAATAAAATTAAGAATATAGTTTATAAATTTAAAGCATAGTACATAATAAAATTTATAATTATAATTAATAAATTAAAAAATGTAACTTTGTTCTGTTTTTTTATAAAACGTAGATTCATAATCATATTCATAATTTTATAAACATAAAACAAATAATTATACGTCAGAAATATGTATACCAGTTTTTTTGTATATATATCTTTTAATAAATTAAAATCGTTAACATTATGACTGCCATTATTGCAGGTTGTGATGCTTGGACGCTGTTATCATCATTTCCCATTGTCAACTTCCGGATAAATCTATATAAACAATAATTATACATAATAATTAATGTAATGTAAAATTAATTATACATAATAATATTAACAATAATATTAATAAAACTTACGGACATCCTCTTATTCAATATCGTTAGCTTCCCAAATGATGGTCATTCTTAATATAATCATTTAAATTAGTTCTAGTAGCATCGAATTGGTATCAGCGACAAATATTACATTCTACTTCAAAACATCACTTTCGGTACAGTATTTTCATAACCAACTGTGAAATGTATACTTTTTGAACTGTTCCTTAGAAAACGAGTGATCTTTCAAACGTTCAGTGAAGTAAAATAATTTTATTACAATTTTAGTGAGTTGAAATATATAAAATATATCTTGATGATCCGTGTAAACTTTAGTAATTTTGTTACAGAGTGAAAATTTTTACATGCATTTTTTTATATGTGAAATTTAAGATGGACATTTCTTTAACAATATATAACAATCTTTCAATGTACAGACAGTCCGTTTGAAGTGATAAAACGCATTTTGACGGACCAACTGTGTTATGTGTTTCTCTAATTTGTATTTTTCAATTTGTCCGAATGTGTCATTTTTATATGAGAAATCAGCTGGTGTTGAACATCAAGAGCAAAATTCTTGTAACAAATATTACACTCCAATACTAAATCATCTCTTTTTGTCAAATATTTATATGGCCAACTGCGGAGGATATGATTCTTTCGTTGCTTTTCAGAATGCAAACTCAAGTGATTATCCATAAATTCTGATGTAGATCGAACATTTACATTACAGATAATACATTTTGAATATAATTTGTTTGAATACTTGAAATACATCCAAGGCAATTTTATTAGTTTCTTCTCTTCTTCATATTTCCAAATTTTTCTATGATGTGCCACAAAATGCATTCGAAAAGTTTTAACGATTATATAATATATTTTTTCGCAAAACATGCACTGCGCTTTAAAATCCGACAGTTTAACAAAATATTTCCACAGATGCTTTTTAGTTACAATAGTTAGTGACTTAGACGTTGTGTCCGTTTGAAGTGATGAAACGCATTCTGATGCACCAACTGTGTCATGTGTTTCTTGCGTATTTTTTAATTTGTCCCAATGTTTCACTTTTATATGAACATCCAGGTTAGTACAAATAGTAACAGGTACATCGCTTATTACAAATATTACACTCCACCAGAAAATCATCTTTGTTTGTCGAATATTTATATGGCCAACTGCGAAATGTATGATTTTCTCGTTGTTTTTCAGAATGTGAACTCAAGTGATTTTCTACATATTCGGATGTAGACAGAACATTTGCGTCACAAATAATACACTGTGAACGTGATTTGTTTAAATACTTGAAATACATCCATGGAAATTTTATTAGTTTTCTTTCTTGTTCGTATTTAAAAATTTTTTTATGATATTTTTCCATATGATGATAGAAATTTCCATTGTTTATATAATAATATATGTTTTTACAAAACATGCACTGCGCTTTAAAATCCGGCAATTTAACAAAATATTTCCAAACATGCTTTTTAGTTACAATAGTTAGTGACTTAGACGTTGTGTCCGTTTGAAGTGATGAAACGCATTCTGATGCACCAACTGTGTCATGTATTTTTTGCGTATTTTTTAATTTGTCCCAATGTTTCACTTTTATATGAACATCCAGGTTAGCATGAACATGAAGAGATACATCGCTATTACAAATATTACACTCCACTACAAAATCATCTCTGTTTGTCGAATATTTCCATGGCCAACTGCGAAATGTATGATTTTCTCGTTGTTTTTCAGAATGTGAACTCAAGTGATTTTCTACATATTCGAATGTAGACAGAACATGTGCATCACAGATAACGCAACTTGAATATGATTTGTTTAAATATTTAAAATACATCCATGATCCTTTTATTATTGTTCTCTCTTCTTCGTATTTCCAAAATTTTATATGATGATTTGCCATATGTGTTTTTAAGTTTGTATCTCCTAAGTATATATATTTATTTTCGCAAAATTTGCACTGTGCTTCAAAATCCGATAGTTTCACATAATATTCCCACACATGATTTTTATTTGCAATATTTAGTGATGTAGACATTATGTCCGTTTGAAGTGACGCATGTAACTGAATACGATGAACTAACAAGAACTGATACAAGAACCTTTCTGTCGATGAGTATAGTAGAGAACGAAAGAAGACGCATAATTATTTTTACTTCAATGTAAATATTAATTTGTCGGTCAAATCTAGCTAACAACGATCAAAACACGCTGTAACATTTCATGCCGAGTATGTATACATGGAGAAAATTTTATATAAAAAATTACTATTTATTGCATTAACCGCGCACCATGAAGCTGCGAACCGAAAATTTTTACTATATTTTACATGTGAAAAATATAGTAAAAATTTTTATAATTTCTTCATGATCCGTGGCTACTGCCGTACACAATAATTTTTTATATAAAATTTTCTCCGTGTAGTAATAACATCTCAGCGAAATAAACGTTACAGCGCGTATCCTTTATACGAATATTTTGTAAGAAATAATGCACAAATAATATATTATCTATGTGTATTAAATAAAATTACTTTCAAATTATGGCTACATCAGAAAAATTTATTTGGCTATATGAAGAAAAAATATGGAAGGATGGATCGTAGTTATCCTGCATTACAGAAGCAGAATAATATAACATTGACGTATGTATTCAAAATACATTGTTTTCTTGGACACGTCATTCGAGTATCATGGAGCGATTCTCATTACGTGTATCAACTCTGTATTACCGACCCAACTGTATCGGCTGTATGAACTAGTCCGCAGTGTCTCCACCTTATACTTCCCAATAAAAAGAAAACATAAAAATATTTTTCCGTAAGGATGACTGAATCGCACAGTCATTTTAGCTTTGCAACCCACGGACTTGAGTTTATACATACTGTGACCATACATACATTTACACTACAAGTAAATAACTGCTTTAAAAGTTTCTATCTTTTTTCATTAAAAAAAATTAAAAACCCTGGAATTTTTACGTTCTATTTTTCTTTCTATTGATATGCACGATATCTAACATATTATCGCATGCACGATTGTATAACAAATTTTTTAGACGAATAGCAATGGAAAGCTGCAGTGCTTGATATTGGAAATTAATTGAAACGCAACAAGCGGGAAAACATGGCGATAGACATGGCATCCTCGTGTTCCCGCTTTTTTCGATCAGCACATATGTAGTGTGTCAGACACAGATGTTACAATTGCATCGTAATAAATTAGAAAGGGCTGAAATAAACGCTGTTTTAAACGTGTAGTTAATGAATAATTAATCAAATGCGAGTTAAGTTTTGAACAAAGCATGGATCCGAGCGAAATCGAGTTTCTCGGCGAGAAACAACTGGTTAGCATAGTGCCGAATTTTAATTCTGATGTGATCTATCTGATCTCGGGCTCTGTGGGGCCATTTCGCGCCGGTCTGCCTGTTAAAGTGCCAATCTGGCTTGCCGTGTGTCTCAAGCAAAAACAGAAGTGTCGTATTATTAGTCAAGAATGGATGAACATTGAAAACTTAAACGAGAAGAAAGAAATGGAGAAAATGTCAAAGTACGTAGTTTCCTTAAAATTTATTATTATTATGTTTAGCATTTTTCTAAATATTTAAATCAATTTTATAATAATTTTGTGTTAAGTACATATCAACTTAAATATTCATGAAAAATTCAACATTTTAGGTTGTTCACAGCAATGCCAAGTTTTCATTACATGGATGAGAGTCAAATCTTATTGAGTGTGGCAAATGACGATATACCTGATGCAGATGGAATAAGGATTGCTGTGAAAGTAAATAGATTTGAGTAGATTTAATATATACAAGAGAGAGAAGAGCTATTGCGTAACAGGACAGCTTCTTATGAAAGAATTTATGTTGCAGGATATATGGGATATAAGAATGTCTAAATTGCGTACGTCTGTGGATGCTTTTATAAAAAGTGAAGGAGTGCATGCAAGACTGGATCATCTCACTGCAATGGAGATCAGTGGTATACGTCCATTGCTGCCACATGCATTAGATCAAATGTTAAGAATACAATCTGTAAGTATGAATTTTCAAATAGGTGTATCTACTTTTAAGTGGCATTTCACCGCCACACAATGTTTATTACTTCAAATAATAATTTTGTTTTTCTTCTATACAGGCAAACACGGGAGAAACAAATTCTCAATACAGTGGAAGCATGTAAGAAAAATGATGTGAAATTATACATATTAATACTGCTGTGATATCATCAGATATTGAATGCAGGTATTTTTGTAATTTTTATATTTTACAATGCGAATATACATACGTCATGAAATCTATTTTAATAGTTTACTCTTTACATTCTACTTTGACACTTTGAATAGAGATCCTATTTAATCATTTAACAGTTGATTTTAATCACATTGGATTATATAGTATAGGAAAATTAAAAAACAAGGAATATTTTATATACGAATATTATATAACAGTTTTATTAGTCAGTTTACTTTCAAGTCATTGCATACATTCACTAGTATATGTCGATCACATTTTCTCCATTTCACTATGCTAATAATTATAATCATTGTGTATTTACATCGGTGAATCTGTCTCAATTGTTACTCGTTGTCCATTATCGTATGGCATTCTGCATTTGTATTTACACTTTAGCTTACAGTACATAGAATTTCTTAACAATCTTTGATTTTATCTCCGTAAAAATAACTTTATATCGTGCAGTCACTCATAAGGCCACTTATTTGAAAGAATTTTATTCGCTTATTGAATCTTTAAGAGATGTATATGTAATCCTATGCAGTGCAACATGAATTATTAGAAAGACAGCGAATTAATTAATTTGCTCAAAATATACAAAAACAAAACTAGTAACATTAATGTTAACCGTTTGAGTGTCAAGTAGCGCGATTGCTTTTCTGTTTCCTGTTAGTATCAATAGGTCGCAATAGGCTTCAGGAAGGGTTAAGTTAATCTTTCAGTTACATGAGAAACAAAGAATACACTAAACTTGTACAATCGCCTCATAAATCCATCTTCAAACACTGAACGATCATACTGCTTGGCATTTTTTGCACATAATCTTGCGACCGCCTTCGGCACTCAAATGATTAAAGTCAGTTTACTTAAATTGTACACAAAAAAAGATTATACAGAATGATAAATCTAAGAGGTAAAGAATACACGAAGAAATTGAAGATATAAATGTATTCTGGCGCAACGCTTTTGGCAGAGTCAATAAATTATTAATTCTACAATTGCCGATGGTACTTGCACTAACAGGAGTAAATAAAGAAATCGCTGTCTTAACATAGAGGGATAGTATAGCTTTCCCGGGTGCGTTTTCAGTCAGTTCAGTCTGAATTACCACGCATTTGAAACGAATAAGTACACTCTGCTCAAGCAAGTACTCGGAAATATCACATAAAGTTCGTTTCCAGAAACGTAACGTTTTTTAGAAGCGTTATGCGTTATCGTCACGCGTCTCTCAAACCGCTACGATCTTACTAGGATCCACCTTAACTCGAATAAACATAGTATCATCTTTGACGAAATGTCGCTTCTTCACCATTTCATGGGAGACAAATCTTGGGAAACCGAAACCGAGAGAATCCGGTTCGCGACTCGGTCGTTGAAAGTTCTTCCAGGTCGGGTCCGGTATGAAACTCTCCACGATGTTGCAGGCCTTTTCCGCGACGACGGTCTGATCGAACATCGTGAACGACACGCTGTGCGAGAACGGCCATCGTAGAAGAGCGTCGTATTCGCCGGGCAGGATCTTTATATATATCGAGATATGACTGCCCTCTCCAGTTCCGTTTCCGTTTAAGAAAATCGAAGCCTGTGTGATAGAAAAATTATGTTAGCAAACTTTAGACATTCGGTATATTTCGTAGTTTTCTAGCCTGTGAAAGGTATTTTCAGAAGCGCAGAAAGTTCATAAAATAATGAAATTTAAGGAAGAAATTTTTTAGACACTTTATTTAAGAGAGTTCTATTCAACATATTTTAAAAAATTTTTAATGATTATTTATATAATATGATATATGCACCTGTAACTTGTATCCATATTGACTAGTATAAAAAGGTGGACTGACAAGTTCCATTCCTTCCTTCGCTTTCGCTTCTGACATCTTGGCGGCATAATCTGTGATCTTCCATATTAGCGTACCCGTGTAATTTAACGAAAGCTTGCTGATTGCCGATTTCAAGCTAGTTATTTGATGTTGCTGCTTCGTTACGAGACTACACATGAGACTTAGATGCATTTTCGCTGATTCCTCTAGATGTTTATCCAACGAAAACCTATTTCCCTGTTACAGAAAGATTACAGTGTGACATTTTTAAAAATAAAGAATAAAAATGATAGATATGTTTCCTATTTGTAAAAAAAATTCAAACTTTTTAATTCAATCCGGTGTACCAGACAGTAAATATTTTATTTTACAGAAACTTTCAATTCTTTTTAGTTTATTCATCTTATATACATATTAAATTTATATATTAGCTATAGTGTATTAAAATTTAGTACCTTGAAACGGCAACCGGCATCCTTGAATGTACAGGAAAGTAAATGTGTGGTGCAATGATCCTTCAGATGAACCTCGAGATCTTCTCGGGGCAGTACCGCAGTTTCGCAACGATGAGGACACGCAACCGGAAATCGACCACATTTCGCGTGGTGAGCGCCTAGCGTATCGAAAACGAATTCTTTGTTGCAGTAGCGACAAGCAACCAGTCTCTTGGCACACTCTCCCAGTTTATGCTGGCCGAGGTGTCGCCTTTGCACTTTCATTCCACACTTGTTTTCGCAATATAGAGGTTCGTAGCCACAGGTCCCCGTGTGTTTCTGCAAATATTGTATTTTTCTAAAATCTGAAGTTAACAATTTTCGTTATTTCCCAATAGAAATATATTTAGGCAGGAAGCTACTTCTCAACAAAATTACTTGTTGTTATCTTTAACTTTGGTCAAAGGGTTATAAAACTTGAATTTTATCAATTCTCGCATAGATCGCGTGTATACCTCTAAAGTGTGTCCGGTGAACTCTTTGGCACAGAAATCGCAGCGAGCCCTACGCTGGGCGCAAGTGTATTTCAGATGGTCTTCCATGAGCACGCGGGGAATCATGGCCCCACATTTATTCCCACAAGGCACTGCATCATGTTTGCATGTGTTCAAGTGCGCCTGATAAAAGCAAAAGTTGAATTCAGTCTCTTCACCGAGATTCATTTCCATTTTCTAATATCGAGTTTTCTTCTCTTCAGATCAAATAATCTTACCTTCAACTTTCTCAGTTCGTCCGACCATTTGCAACCGTCCTTATGATGTATGCAATACACGATAGAGCCCATTATTGCCTTCTCTGCCTCCGCGTCTTGGAAATTCTAGAAAAAAATCGAAACAAAAGAAAATATTATTCATTCACATTTGCTGTTACTTTTGTCGGAGCATAAAACATGACCGGTGTGTAAGCGAGTGAACGTAAATTGAATGTCAATCACTGAATTGCTAACTAATCAAAATTCATAGTACTCTACAAATTTTTAAAGAAATTTCGTTACGATTCAGGATCAATTTATATATTTTTCTATGAAATATTTGCGGCGATATTTTTGATAGTTTTTAGAATATGGAATTTAAAATTAAAAAATTATTCAATCTCTTCTATGATGCTTTTGTCAAGCTTCTATAACGTTGCAAGCATTTTAAATGACATGACATCAAAAGTGGGAAATTTTGTTAAATTTTCTTGTTTACGTCGAAATAAATTATTTTCTTCGTATATCATCAATTGATAACATATAACTCTAAATCTTGATAAACTTGATAAGGCTTATTTTTTCGTTAGAAATGCAAGACATATTTTATTCATACATTCGAGTGATGGCATGAAAAAAATAGTTTACTTCGACATGTATTGCAAAGAAATGTATATTATTTTTGGCATTTTGATATTGGCGAGGAAACAGGAAACTTAAGTAGAGTAGAAATAAAATAGTCTGTGCGCGTGTATCTTATCACTCATAAACTATCAAAAATTTAATGATTTTATTCCAACTTTAAACTCCAATATTTTTATTTTTAACTGTTCGCAACGTGCAATTTGTCGAATCTGTGTCTGACATCTAAAAATTAGTAATTTTTGGCGAGAATGTTGTTTGGACTTTTCGGAATAGCAAGACAACGGTACCATAACGAGATACCACGCTGTAGGAGATGCTACCTCGTGCCGAGAGCCACGTGGGTGGTACACACACACACACAAACCCAAAATACTTTAAATCTATCATCGCGTTAATTCAGGCAGTCACGCTGTTGTAAAACCTGCTGCTTACGGTCACTTTAAACATTTAGCAATCTTATTTTGAATAGACTTACATGAAATATTTTATTCTCTTTTCGATGAGTTTCAGCATTGTATTCTTAATATAATAATCAATTTCTGTCACTTGGGGTAATTCATAAAAATATAATTTGTTACAAATTTGTTATAAACTTTTTCATTTTAAGTATTTTCAAGTGTGTTTGAAGAAATATTAAAAGGTCACATAAATTTGAAAAGATTAAGTCGATGTAGGTAAAAAAGTTTAATAATTCGTGCAGCACAATGTACGTTAACATTTGCTACTGCAAATTTATGCAATTTTATATTTCCGTTTTTATACGTGCGACTTATTCACCGAAATTATTTCCTTGAAAACGCGCCGATTCAAGAAAAGAACAACAGGAATCGTGAGATGACCAGCCTTTATGCCATTGGACACAGACGCATCCGGTGTATAATATGTGTGCGAACACACGTTGAAGGCGCTCGCAAGTTGAAACCTGCACGACCAGCAAGGTCGAGGAACCTAACGCAACCAGTCAGCCGTTAGCAATGAGATATAAACAGAGAAAAGAAATAGAAAAGACGAATCTATCTTCTCGTTGTTAAGATTGATCTCGAAAAGAATTGGAATATATTGAAATGCTTTCGAATTGAAACATTCTGAAAGAAAGAAAAAAGAAATCGTGGAGAGATCAAGAAAAAAATTAAGATACTTCGTAACACATCACAGATACATTGAAAATATCATACAGTAAATTTAAAAGACGCTACGTAGTGCAAAAATTTTAAATATAGAAATCTATATTATAAAAAAAATCGAAAAAAATATGAATAATAAATAATCTGGAAATTTCTGCAGTATGTCGCGACATTAAATCGCTTATCTCTTTCGATTTTTTTTCAAGTCATATTAAGCCTCGATATTAGCATAGACAACGCGGCAAGCAGGCACTACGTTACAGTAAAATAACGGACAATCGATCTTCGTATGTTCCACTTATCCTTCGCTCCTTGCAACGTTGGATGTTCAGTGTTTTAACGTTCAATGTTGCGTTCAATTTAGACAATTTAGATTAAAAACACAAGTTTTTCTTTGCTCAGAAATTTAACGAATCAAATATAATTTTTAATCAAGATCTATAATATAATAATAAGTAAATATAATATCGACGATTCTTTTAAATTTTAGTTCTTCCAGTCACGTAATATATTATTTCGTGTTAGTTCCTCAAAAAAAATCTGATTATGTTATTTTAATTATTATTCGTAGACTCTTCAGACTATCTTTGATGCGACTTGATTCATCAATTATGCAAATGAGACTGAAAATGAAATGTAACTTGTCTTTTTAATAGTTGAAATTTTACGACTTCGGCATATTTCAACGAATCTCGACTGTTGCGAACTCGCGTTCCATTCGACAACCGTCTCTTTCCAAATCCAAATATACGTCCTTGGTGAGTGGTCGAAAATTAACATAGCATACGGTGCGCGTTGATCTCACCGCCTCCTCGTTCCCACAAAAGGTTTAAGATTACATCGGGAAAATAAAAACGTATCGCTTTAATCCTTCGAAGAAATGCGATTACGATACAATTTTTAATATCTTCGTAAATTAAAATAGGCACAGTAGTTTCGCTGAACTATTATTTTGCAATATTATTTACTTGATATAAATTTACGTCGCGTTTTCCGTGAATCACATTTGTTTCGAACGTGATTCATGGAATTGCACGACTATATCAGAAGTTTTGTGTAATATAAACATGGATTAATACATAAACCATCATATACTTTGAACTTCCTTACTTTTATGAAAATAAGTATAAAATTGCATCATATATAGACTGCTAAAACAATATAAATAATGGTTATCTTTCTTACACTATAAATAGACATACTTTGTGTCAATATTTTAAATGTTACACATAAACCTATTATTTGACATCCTTCATATTTTTGCATATATCTATTAGGCTATTTTCTCAGCAACTCTTTTCTCTTCAGAAAAAATTAATCTACACATCTATCTTTAGATTTAGATACAATTTTTCAACCAGATTCTGCATGATAGAATTTACAAATAAAATACGAATTAAATAAGTTTGCAAAAAAAAATCCGCTATTTCTCTGAAAAACTTTTTAGCGATTGCATATAAAATTCAAAATATGTCTCAAAAGAAGCATCGTAAAATTAAACATTGAGACAGAAGATCTATTTTTTGTATTGCACAAAATATAGCAATTATTTATGTTGATTCAGCAAGCTGTATGAAACGAACGAATAAAGTTTTCGCGCGGCTTCCCCTGCAGATTGCACCCACGCCGCGAAGCGTAACATCCTCGTTTACGAACGGCACGGAAAAGTTCATCGTCGTGGAATGCGCGGCGAGGAACAATACGCGGGGAAAGAACGCGCGTTCGTAGCCGCACCGTTTCCGGCGTAGACCGAACCGGAGAATGCCGTCGCCGTGGGAAGAGAGGGGCGAGCTTTTAATATAACACACCGTAATTGCCGCGTACACTCGTAACCGTTCGCGTTATCTTGCATTCTCGCATTCTCAAGTCGCGAGGATGACAGAGGCATCACAAAAGGTCACGCACGGGCATAGCGCGACGTTCTCTTGGACTACTTGGGCTAAAACTCGTACTCGGAATCGAACAAAGTAGTCTCGGACTTGCACGACAAGTTTCGAAGACATTAATTGAGGATTTTTTACTGGAACGAAAAAATGCAAGATATTTTTCTTCCATTTCCTAGTAGCTTTATCATAAGTTTATCTTATCTGCATTACAAGTACGTGTTGTGTTTATCGCGTACTAATTTTTATATGATATGAAAGAATAGAATTGGAATTAAATGTGAGAACAATGAACAAGATTCTTTTCAATCTGAATTTCTAAAATTTGACTTTTTCAATGCCTATAAAAATTACGACCAAAAAACTTTCAAGTTGATGATTTGATAGACAATCATAAATTGATGATGCGAGGCAAAGCACGTGCTCTGACAATAATCTAAGATACCACACGTATCTTGCCAAGAATAATTTAATTTCTTGCAATTAAATAATGTGAAATCTTTTGTATCTCTTTCCGCGATTTCGAAGGCAGCGGCACGCGCGAAAGGAGATTACAAAATATTTCATTTATAGTTACACAAGTACTTCATTAAATATTATGCTGTATCGGCGAAACGATATCGCGAGCATCGCGTGAATCGCCGGGTAAGAATAAGCCGAGCAACGAGAAGAGGAGAGGTCGAATGACTTCGGAAGCGGTCGAGGCCATCTGTTACGCTCGGTTCCCACGCTTCCGCTGCCGCCGTCGCTCCTTACAGCCGGTATTTTATACCAGTGAGATGGCACGGGCACTCACGCACGAAATTCCTCGTGTTATATACGGGCGCGAAGAAAAGCAGCGTCTCATCGGGTCCGCGCGCAGCATCTGGCGACAATATTGAAACGCGGCTGTCAGGAAGAACCGTTCCTCGTGTGGAAGCCGCGCGCACGCATATCCCGAAGTCAACGGTCTCCCGCCGCGATCACGCTAAACTCATTCTCAGAACTCTCGGAAATGATGCTGATATAGAAACCGCTATTTCCGCCGATGTGTTACACCAGCGGGTCCCTCTCTTTTGTTTGCAGTTTCCAAGGTTGATACAAGCCGAAGTCGTGTGCGAAATCAGAACGAATAGTTTGTGATTCCGGTCGCGCGATGTCGATGGAAATACGGTTTGGCGATCAGCTCGAATTAGAAAAGCACACTATTAGAAGCATTAATCTTGCAAAGAATCTAGCGAAGAGTCAAGATTGGAAAAGGAAGTTGAAAAAAAAAGAAGCGTGTCTAACCTCGTCCGTGATTATAGGCGCTTTGTCCATAGTGTCGTTGATCGGGCTGGGCGGTGACGTGGGGCTAGCACTAGGGCTTACGTGGAAAACCTTGGTCTCCTTGGATCTCTGGGGTGACACCCTCGCCGGGAAGCTCAGGGTCTTGGTCCACTGCGACAGACCGCGCACCATCTTCAAAGTGAAAAGCACTAATGTCACTCGCGAAACCGAGATGACCCGACTCCGCCGCTGGTACCATTCACGTGTGAGAAGTGTTTGCGAATCACGAGCAAGACACCCGGTCGCTGTTTTCGCGCGTTTTCTACAATACTCCGGCGAGATTACGCGCTTTCTTTTCTTACGGCACCAATCGCGACTCGAGGTAACGCACCCGTAACGAATGCTGACCTACACAGCATCCGAGCGCGGTAACAATCGCGAAGAGCCTGCCGATCGACCTTCAAGCGCGAGAGCACTCTTCGACTCAGCGCAAGGCGGAACCTACTGGCGGACTGACATGCAGACTGCGACTAGTTGTGCAGCTCCTCTCTGGACCCGAGCGTCATGGTGTCGATGGGGACGGACGGTAGTAGTGGTGGTTTCGCTGATGGTGGAGGAGGAAGAGGAAGCGGCGGCGGCGGAGGAGAAGAGGGGAGAATCGGTCGCGCGCTAGAGGAGCCGTTCGAGCGATCGAGAGACTGGCGTTGGTGAAGGATGGTGCGCGGAGCAACGCAAATGTGTACTTTTCAATTTCTCGTTGTACTCGTAATCGCACTTCTCTCTTAAATATTTTCTCCTCTGTCTCTTCTCCCCCCTTCAAAAAAAAAAAAAAAAAAAAAAAACCGGGAACGGATGACAAGTCGAATCAGCGATCTGTTTTGCAAATGTTTTGTAAACATTTTTAATATGTCCGAGTGTTTATTTCCAATTTTGTTGACATTGATGAATTTTAACTAATTTAGCTAATTTGTATCTCTTTAAGATTAGAAGCGTGGAGAGATAAAGAGTTAGTTTAGTTAAAATTAGAGCTAATCAATTAGGTGGTGAAACCGGTCTTTAGACCGACCCGCCCCCGCAGATAGACTCTTGTTTCGGGAGAAGATAATTGAGAGAGGATGATAACTGAGAAAGGAGCACCGACGAGAAACGGAAAAGAGAGGGAGAAGACAGGTCGTGAATGAAGGAGCAAGTGCGTATAAAACAGGATTGCTTTTTTAGATGGCGAACAAGTCGGATCCTGCACGATCTTGCAAAGTGCGCTTTTAAGAGCGCCTGTTTAAACCGTCGCACGGTGATCGAGATTTTCGATTTTCCTTTTAACTTTGCGGAAAATTGTCGCACTATTTTCTCTCAATTGTTAATTAAAACTTCGCTATATCGCGCAGTTTTACGACGTGACGAAGCCAAACAGCTTAATACGTTCGGGAAAAGCGATAGAAAAGATTCGATTTCGTTTCTAAGCCGATATGCCTTTTTTTGGGCACAAAGAATCTACGCGACGGCGCGATCGGGAAAGAGAAACATGTGTTGCTAACTGCTGGTTTGTGGAGTACCGAGGGGGAGAGGAGGAGGGTGGGAGCAGGGATAACGCCATCGCCGAGCTTATATGCGGCGTGCACCGTGCATTCAACTGTACGCGGACCGGATCTAGCCAGCTGCGGCCTTCTTCGACCTTCCCCCCACCGATCATTGACGATGAGAGGAGTCCGGCTTTCTTGGGCAGCGACCGGCCAGTTCCAACCCATTCCAAATCTCAACCGTCGCGAACAGTCGCGAAAGCCGGCTGCGAGCGGGCCCGCCGCGTGCTTCGGATCCGTGTGTTACACCTTGAAGAGCTAAAGTCGCGCTCGCCAGGCGACTGAGTATCTAGGAGTAGGTTTGCGACGCGTGCCTTTGTTATTCGCTAACCGAGCATTCGTTATAGCCGCTCATTGACTCGCTTCGGCTTTGAAGCGTAACGGATGTACCGCAACCGCTTCTCTGTGGTTGCCTCGTGGCGCTTAATATTTTCGTTTATTTGAGCTTCCGTAGAAGAAATATAGAACGGGGAAATTTTTGGGGATTTATGAAATTGTTTTCAAGAACAGAGAAATGAATTAAGTAAAATAAATGTTAAATTTGTATTTCTTTGAAAATGCATGCGGCGCAAAGTATGCATCGGCGAATGATCGCTCGAGTAATATTTCGATCGATTGAACTTACTCTCGCTACACGTTTAAGAGTGGATATTTTATGTTGTAATAATTTATTTTATAGTAACTGATAAAAGAGAGAGAATAATATAAAACTTAATAGAATGATGAAATCTGTATGCGACTTGAAAGCTACATTTGATAAGTGGAGTGTTGAAATTTTTTGTTCCTAGTTTTACTGAAGCATTTAACTCTCGCTATCGAGAAACGATATATCTTTATGATACAGCAGAGTTATAAGGTCATCCTATTCAGAAAACAAACAACTATTATCGTTCCATTAGCTCAAAACCAAATCGATTTCATCCACCAATATATATAATTAGCCTTATTATTGATACGTCACGAAATTGCAAAAATGTCTTATTAATAATCCGAGGAAAATTCTTCGCTATGATCAACTTCTTAAATTTCTTATCAAGAATCATCGATGTTTTCAACTCGTGATCGCATATTGAGATAAATTACTCCGCTAACTAGTCGCTGATAGCATTTTCGATCTTATTTCGCATCATAAGCTTCATTTAAACGTGCAGCGAAAGCAGCACGGTTGTTTAATTGTGTTACCTAATTGATCGAAGTATTACTCAATCGATCACTCGCCGGTGCGTGCGTACTTCGCACCGCATGCATCTGTCCTCAATTGCACAAGGCACAGGTGGAATATGAGGCTGCCGTGTGCGAGCAATCTCCATGATCATCCAATCGTGGAATTTTCTTTTTCAAGAAGGGATTCGTGAAGTCTGCGCGCACCGCGCGCCCAGATGGAGCGTCCTCCCGAGGGGACAAAGGCGAGCTTTTCGAAGCACGCCGCGATACGAGAAGCACCTGGCAAGACGATGGAAGGGATCGAGCGCATGCGGAGGATAGCAGCGGAACGCCAACCAGGGTATAATATTGGGAAGTGTGCAGCTGTCACAGCAGCTGCAAACCTCCTCTCTCGCCCGCCGATCGGCAGACCTCCACCCTCTGGCTCCTCCTGCGCCTTCTGCCTCGCGTTGCTTGCACGCCGCCTAATTCCTGCATACTGATTCCTTTACGGATTTTTATAGCGCTTCGTCGTAGTAAATTCGTGAACGCAGATGGAAACTGTCCTGGCACGGCGGAAAGCCAAAAACAGTTTAAAGCACGTCTCCGAGGGATCAGAAGGCCTATCAATCGTCTTTACGACGCCTTTCAAATGTTGTGCTGTCTCGCTGTCTCGAGTATGGCGAGTCATATCGAAAATAAACCAAATATATATTCTGTATTTCAATTCTATTTTTGAAATATAGTGATAAATTTGTTTAATCAATTAATAGAAATAATGATGACGTGAAAGATCTTTCAAAGAAGTCAGGGATTATTTTTTCACTCGTTCAAAGGAAATATTCATTATTTCAATGCTTTTGAAATTTTCATCATATTTTTTTACGTGAGGCTAGTGCTGTAATATATTAATTTTAATAGAATACACTAATTAATTACGTAATAAAGATCATATATTTCTTAAATAATCGGTGACTGCATGATTTATTTCATGCTATATGAGAGCTGCGTCTTAAGCCTGTTTTAAAACCAACTATCATCACGAAGAAAAAGCATCCTTGTTTCTTTCCGAGGCGAGGAGATTTGCCTGTATCTGTGTTCGTATCAGCTGCCCCTTGTGTAAAACTATACTTCCTACCCTGTCCACACATCTGCTCGCTTGTTGTGCATCCGTAATGCGCGTTCGATATATCTCTGAGATTTTAAATAACGACTCGCAGACGAAGCGATTTATTTCCATTAATTTCTCTTATCTTTAATTACTTTCTACTTTATATAATGAATCTGTCGTAATGAATCTTCTATTTCAATGTATGTGTCATTTCAACAAACCTAATTTTTTTATCAAATAGTTTACAATTCATTGAAAATTGAACAATACGTAACTCATTTTAGTCTTGCTTTCAATTTTAACTTTTATTTTTTAATTTTTAAATTTTAAAATGTAAATACAGCTCGCGCGACAGATGTTTAAAATAATTTTCTCTTTTTTCAAATAGCGAAGAATTGACAGAGTAAACTGTACGTCTCGTATTTGTATACGAACTTTTACGATAATTTACGATTATTTACGCTTGTGTAATCAACGTTAGTAAACGGTTAGTGTAGAAGTGCAATGGAAGACTCGTGTCGCAAAGTGAAAGGAGTTTCGCAGCGCTTCAAATACTGAATCAACTTGGATTCTTTAGAATAATGTTGGATCTTGATATATTATTCATTTTAGATGATATTCCTTGAGTTGAATATTTTTCTTCACTTATAGTCGCATAGTTTAAAATTCTTTTGGCCTAAAATAATTCTGGCGTATGCATGTATATGCTCTTTTCTATGTATTTATTTATCATCCTACTTCTATTAATTAGTATTAAAACTGATATTTATTACGTTTTATTTATACATTTGTTATCAAAATTTTGCTGCTTTATATTTTTAATTAATATATTAGACACGATATTCTCTCAGCATATAAAAAATTATATTAACTATAATATCTGTTTATCAAAATGATGGAATTCTTCTAATTAAACCGTCAATCTTGTAGGCAAGATTAATAAAAACTTGAGATGAAAATAGTGCAGAATATATCGATGATTTTGAGATAAAAGATCTTTTTTGTATCTTGTCAACTATTAAGTCTTTTTCTGATTATATTTCAGGTGTTCAATTATCAACCTAACAATTGTTGAAGCAAGAGGAATTGGAGCAACTAAAAAGAGTAATCCGAAGATGCAGCTGTCAGCCACTTCCAGAACGCAGTAGACAGCAGCAGCTGCGTCGAACCACGGCATATCGCCGCCCAATTCGATCGAAAGAACGGCGATCGATTATCTTACTCTTTCGCCCCTATGTAAGTACACGTGTATATAGTCAGATGTATTAATGATACCCTTATAGCCCGTATTTAAAACATTTCACGATGCGGGAATCACCGATTCTTTTCATTCTTCGCGTGCATGAATGGAGGAGGCGCGCATTAATTATACAAGCAATAAAGTACACTTCTTGAGAAAAATTATTTTATCACTGAATAAGGTAAATGTCCCATTTTCCGATCATATATTAGCAAAATAGTGTTATTATTTAACATTCATAGATATGAAGTCGGAAAATAATATTCAAAAGCTTTTAGTAAATTAAATTCGCATATAAAAAGAGGAGAAAAATACTAAGTTCATAAAAAAAATTACATCTTCAATAACGATTGCTTCTCAAATGTCCGGTTATTATGACATTTATCTCACACGCATGGAACACTATTGCTACAGCCACACTGCATATTCGATATGCAGATGAGGGAAAGTTAAGGCTTCATGAAATCGACGTTGCGAAAATCTCGACGTGCGATTCTTTGTCGCGATGTAAGCGAACGATAGCAAGTGTCATTTAATGAACTCTGGGTATTATGCGACTTAACATTATTTAAAGCACTGGCGGATCCTGGGGGTTTTAACCCCCCCCCCCCATCTCCATTATCGACATCAGGATCCGCTAGTGATTTAAAGTATAAATCAATTTTCGATAAACTTATCTTCAGAAAAATTTTCCGTATTACGGCAACGATTGTTTGGGATTTTCGTGAATCCGATTTTCATGAGTCCGATATATCGGACAAATGTTTATGTGAATTAACATAATATTATGTGCACAATATTTCTCTCCATAATTTTGAAATAATGCATTGATCGCGAACTTACCGTTTTGAACACCCGGTTGACATTATAAGTCGCCGTTGATGCACTCGGTTGTTCGCATTAGGAAACCGAGAACGGACGCCGTTGAGACGAAGACCATATATTCTTTAATAACGTTAACACATGTCGCAAATCCTCGAGCGTGGTTACAAAACTCTCATAATGACTGTATTGAATACCTCAGATTTGTCCAGAGTCTCCTTTCAATTGCGCTTAATTAAAAACAAGTTTTTTAATCTCAGACAAGTGTCTTTATTCTAAAACTGCATCAAACTTGTAATTTTCTCAAACTTTCGCACTGAAACGTTCGTTCGGAATCCTCGTCAAAGCGGCGCACCGAAAACTTCTTCACAGAATAGTGCAATTATAACATCCCCTCTTCGTGAATTGAAGCGGCAAATTCAACACTACGAGACCGCGCAGCTGTATACTTTTTACGAAATATTTGCGAGCGTTGCAGAGATCTCGAAAAGTGTCTGAGAACATGAACGAAGGAGCGTCATCGCGCGCAATCCTTGCGCGTCCGGAGTTCGTCGAACTTGGTCTATATTGTGAACGGACCGGTGCCAAGCGCTCGCCCTCGACAATACCGAACGCTTATCAGAACCGAAGAAGAAAACGCATTCGCGACTTGTAGTCAACGGCAGCGTAACATTGACTGCACAACGCAACCAGTCGCATTACCAGATGGCACGTACATACACAACTGTGAGATCGCAGCCCCACTACGTGCTAGGCGAAACTAAAGTCCCTCGGGATATTACGCTTAGCAGCAGGGCATACGCGGCCGTATACGCCTAGTTGGTTACGAAGGCAGGTGGCGGTAGACAGGTGAATGTGTTGGCAGAACACAGGAAGTGCCAGAGACAGAGAAGCGATACAAAAGCCTTTGGTGGGGACGACGACACCGCCAAAGAAAGAAGGGGCAGTGTGAACTCGCCAAGTGCCTAGAAACAGAATTACGAAGAGTTGTGCGTGGCACAAAACACTCGTCACGTAATAGCCGCGAGAAAACCTTCCAAAAGTGTGCAACGCGCGGTGCAGGATTGTACACGGCGCGCCTGTTACATCCTTTTGCAGAACGACGTTTGTTATTGAAATTGAAGGACTGAGCAGTATAACAATGGCTTGATAATTTCTCAAGGATTTGAAGAATTAATACGTAGAGATTTAATTATATATTTAGATTTAGATTTATATTTTCAATATATTTAACTTTAATTTCTAATAATTAGATTAAATTTATATATAATCAGACATCTAATTCATTAAAAACAGGAAGTCCTTCATTTAAAAAATATTGCTGTTTTGATAATTTAATTTAAGAAACTGATTTTCTAGACTAGTCACAAAGAATTCATTATAAATTTAATCATTGAGTATTTTTAGAAACATATACAATATATATATATATAAGTAATGAATTATATAAGTAAGTAATGTAATTATATAAGTAAGTAATGAATTATATATAAAATAAAATAATAAGTAATGAATATGTAGCGAAATCATAATGATAACATTCTCAAGCAATTATATATACAAACATAGTATACTATGTTGCTACTATTGCGTCATTTATATTGCTTAACCGCAATAAGTAATGAAATAAAATAATTATCGGTTGCGCAAGTCTAAATGACTTTTATATATCTCATATGTTCGAACGTATCTCAGCAATCACACGTGTTCTCTCGCTCCGCAAGTACAAAATTACCATCAGGATATGCTTAATCCTTGAAAAAAGAAAGTAAGTTCTCGGAAATTGAGACTAGTCACCCTGATTGTACATCGTGCTTCGCTTCTTACTCGTCGACATCGGGAGAGTTCACCGCGCTAAGCAATAACATCGCGTTATTATGCCGCTTGCGATTCGCCTCGTACAGGAATAGCTCGCACGCACATGTCTCTCTTTTGCTTCTCTTTTCTCTCTTCCTTGGCTCGCGTATACATCGGTGCGAGCATGTGCGCGTAGGATGTGCACTCACTCCGTCTTTCTCCGACTGACGATAGCACGCAAAGCGCAACACCATTCTCCGCCGTTCTCCAGCGACGTAATGCGATGGCGAAGTCGTTGACTGTGAGACTGGAGTGACACACGAATGAACGAAGAATGTCAGTTTCAAATTGCGCTTTCCGCTGCTATCTCAAACTATGAGGATAGCTTGGATAAAAACATGTACTTTGAATACAGAATATAAAATACAAAAAGTCTATATATCGCAGAATACGCATAAAAAAAAGTAGAAATAATTTTTAAAATAGTACAAAATATTTTTCAAAAATTGATTTATATTGCAAAAAATGCGTAGGAATATATAATTAGTATTTTAAATATTTTTATCGACTTTAATTCAAATTTTTAATCAAACGTCAGTTTAATAAAATTAATATATATATCACATTCGTGCGTAATATCTTTTTATCTATATGTCTGATATATAATTTTTGTTAATAAATAACTTTCGAAATTTATAATACAAAAGTTTCTCGTTATTGAGCTTTTTGTACACGAGAGCTTTTTATATGCGTATCATTGAGGTCTATATAGTTGGCCAACTATATAGACCTGTATCATTGATGCTTGAGATTATTCTTACACGAAGTTGAACCAGAGTAAAATTTTTGCTGCAGGTAATATTACTACAGATGGTAATTTACAATTCGCTTTTACCGTAAGATGGCAATGAGATAATATAATAACATGTGACCGTAATAGAGCGCGCTGCAAGTCGTACATTTTAGTTTCTTCTCTATTTTAAATACTTCTTCTATGTTTATACAATCCTCTATATAAGTGTTGGTCCAGTGTTGTTTATTCCGGTATAAGTGTAATAAAATAATATAATAACAGAGATAGATTTACATATAATTCTCTTTGATTAACGTCAAAATAATGTCTGCTACATAATTTTTTTCGAAATAGCTAGTGTCTCATTGATATACATTGAACATTTCACGAAATTTGTAAGTATACAAAAAATAAAATTGCAATGTGATTGCATTCAATGAAGATTGTTTACACATTGAAATCGCACAGTGATCTTTCACTCTCATCGAATGCAACATGTCTAATACAATAAGTGGCAAGAATTTATTACGGCCGAATGGCTTACAGTGCAAAAATCTGCATGAATATTTAAAGTCACGCTCCCCCGATACTTTGAATAGACTGTATCACAAACCGCCTATATGTTTGGCCGTGTTCCGCGAGTTACCTGTAATCGCCAAGCATTATGTTATGAGACTGCTCTTCGTCGAGCAGCCCGTTCCACAAGCGGTCATAGCATCATGGTGTTCAAAACTCTACTTTGAGGAACATCAAAAAGTAGTGCAAGTTTTGAATGAGCTATATGTGTGGAAAGAAGCATCTATACCCGGTGGACTACCAGGCTGGACTTTGAACAGTACTTTCAAGAAAAATTTAAAGATTGTACTGTTGGGGGGTGGCAAACCATGGACCATGTCGAATCAGCTGGAAACTGATAGCAAACCACGAGATGTGGTTTTCTTAGATTCCTATGCATTAGAGAGATGGGAATGTGTTTTACATTATATGGTTGGTTCCCAACAGCAGGAAGGTAAGATTTTTATTTCAAGTTTTTTTTTTAAGTGGATAAAGTTGCATAAAATAGCATTCTGTTACAAGATTTTGATACATTCTTATGTAGTTAAGAAATTTTCTTATTTAAAGATGCTATTTTCTTTAAGTGTATGTGTAAGATATAATTTTTTGCAAAAAATACCTGATTTTTTGATAAAGAGTCTCATAAAGTATGCAAGTTTGTGGCTATCCTGTGTATATAGAAATTTTAAAATCTTGTGTTGATGTTTTTAAGATATGCTACACATATAACATAAAAGAAATGCATGATTTAAATTTTGTCTTTTAAATGTAATTTTTAAAGCATTGTTTTTATGATTTTGTAGTTTAATTAAACTTTATATTTTATATTAACAAGGAAACAAATTGCAAACATTTAATATATGTAGTATGCTTTAATTTTGAAAATAGGTATATCTGCTGATGCTGTAAGAATTCTTTTACATGCTGGTTTAATGAAGAGAGATGAAGCTGATGGAAGTCCACTTATAACACAAGCTGGTTTTCAGTTTTTGCTGTTAGATACAGCTTCACAGGTCACTACTGGTTCTGGTATAGACATTTTCTTTCTTATCACTGTTTACGTATTACTGACATTTTCTTTTTTTCTTTTTAGGTATGGTACTTTATTCTGCAATATCTTGACACAATTGAGGCACGTGGTCTTGACTTAGTAGAGTGCCTTACCTTTTTGTTTCAATTAAATTTTTCCACCCTGGGTAAAGATTACAGTACTGAAGGCATGTCCGAAGGACTTTTGACATTTTTACAACATTTAAGAGAATTCGGACTCGTGTATCAACGAAAACGCAAAGCAGGAAGGTAAATGTATACGTTGTACATGTGAATAAAAAAATAATACGTTTTTAAAGTAATGAAAAATATTTTTACTAATTTAATATTGTAGGTTTTATCCCACTCGATTAGCACTAAACATTGCGACTGGTGAAAATAAACCTTTAACCAGAGATGCAGACAAAGAAGGATACATAGTTGTGGAAACAAATTATCGAGTGTATGCTTATACAAATTCCAATTTACAAGTTGCGTTACTTGGACTTTTTTGCGAAATGTTATATAGGTAAGTGTAATATATATCCTATTAAATGGAAGATATATAAGATGTCGAAAAAATTTAAATCTTTATAATTAATTTCATGTGCAGATTCCCAAATTTAGTTGTATCAATATTAACAAGAGATTCCGTAAGACAAGCATTGAAAAGTGGAATAACTGCTTCTCAAATAGTTGGGTATGACAATTTAATATCTTAAATAGTCAAAGATTTGCTGCATACTATATTGTCTTATATCAACAGTTATCTACAGCAACATGCGCATAGTAAGATGATAGAAGCAGGTCCGCCTATATTACCTCCTACTATTGTAGATCAAATTAAACTGTGGGAAAATGAAAGAAATAGATTTTTATTCAGTGAAGGCGTTTTATACAGCCAATTTCTTTCACAAACTGATTTCGAAGTTCTTAGAGATCATGCGCTTTCAACTGGGGTATTAATTTGGCAAAGTGAAAGGTAACGATTGTCTTAAATGCGGCTTATACTGTCGAAAAATTTCACGCAAAATGCCATAATGATCAAATATATTTTGTTTTCAAACACGTTATATTTTTCTTATAGGAAAAGAACTATGGTGGTTACCAAAGCAGGTCATGATGATGTAAAAAAATTCTGGAAACGATACTCAAAGGGTTCAAGTTAATATTTAACTTACAAACTTTGATTATAAGCATTCTACCTACCGTTATGTTTCTTAAATAATGGTACCGCAAAAAATATCATTTAAAAAAAAGTGCCTAAAAACTGGAAAATGAAGCAATCTTGGAGTTGATATTGAAGAGTCTCTTAATTAGTACCAAAGGTTCTCTCAGGTGAGGCTAGATTTTGATATGCGATAAGTATAATATTGAATTAACGAAGTCAATTTATATTTAATATTGTCTGTTTTATTCCTACCAATTATAAAATTTGTACAGCAAGGAAGGAATTATTCAGAATTTGACAATTTGATTTATCGCAATAAAATTTGTAATATCACATCGAATAAATTATACATCTGAATTTGGCTGTCACTCCGCGATTCCTTTAATATAGTTCAAACTTGTAAAATAGATTTTATAACTCAGATCTCGATATATAGCATATTTCTCGAATTAACGCTTATGCTGAAAAAATAATTCAACGCAATATTACATATAGATGACAAAATTAGGTACGCAGATAAAGAGTACAAACTAATAATTTATTACGTTTGTCAAGTATATCGAAAAAAGCCTAATTGGATGTAGTATTCTTGATCATTAAATGCGCATTATATCGAGCATTGAGCATAGAACCTAATAATAAATGATGCGTTATTATTGTTCATGACATTTTAGAACATATTTTTATGTACGGATAAAAAGTTTTAGATATAAATGCAGAACAATATTCGTTGTCAACTCTATGTATAGCGATATATATGGGAAAGAGGACAGATTTTTAGTCGAAGCAGTCGTCATATCAGCATGAATCCCAAACAGTTGGCGAAGAGAGAGTTTGATGTCAACGCTGTGGTGCTGCTTTTGGTTTTGGCATTTTAGCTAGTAAACCTTGAATTTCATTCTTTTCATCATACTTTCTCCACAATTCGTACAAATTGATTATATACCGTGCTATTTCTTGAATTTTTTCCATATCTGCGTTTAATTCTGCGAACCATGATTTGAGATCTTTCTGCAATATCACACATGCTACTTGAAGACAACCTGTGAAAAATATAAATTATTTTTAAGTTTCTTTATGATACTAAATTGTTATTAAAAAAACATTATTATTTGTAGCTTACCAATAGCTATTTGATAAGGTGGATATAATAAACATACATCTGTTCTTAAACTGTCATTAATAATACGCCATGCGAGAGTAAGTAACTGATCATCTGGTCCCACATCCTGAATTAATGTTAATAAGGGACGGTATGGTTGGTATACTATTAAACAACAATCCAAATGCTCCAAGAGATAAAATTCACATTCCAAAATGTGATTTGTACGATATGGAAATTCTTGCACATATGCATAATTAAATTTGTTTTTGACTACAAAAGGAAGAACACATTGATCAAATAATTATTTAACTAAATTGCATTGTCATATCGATATCAGCAATAAATTGTAACAGAAAACATAATATATTTATGGATCTTACCTACAGTTCCCATTGTTGTTATTAGTCTAGTATTAGAAATTACTCCAAATTCTTCTACTTTTGATGCCAAAAAGACTGAAGTAGGAGCTAATAATAAAGGATCTATGCATTTCAAGCTATTGCGAGCATAAAACCTTTTAAAATAAACTGTTGCAGTAGCTATCACTTGTTGCCTCAGTTTTAATTGTTCACCTAGAACTTGTATCACTAGAAATAGAAATTTATATAATTATATATGTAATTAAGACCATATTTGTATAATCGTACATTTTGCTCGACACCAAGTGTACAGATTTAGCATAGATATCTATAAAGTATATGTCGTCAACTACAATTTAGTAATTATTGCACATCTACCAAAGAATTTTTATGACAATTAATATACAATATATGCAATGAATTATATAATATTTTTTAAACCGAAACACAAAATAGCACCTCGTTGTATATAATTTTAATGTTTTAAAATGATTTATATAAAATTTAATTTTTGAATAATATTAAATCAATTTTCAGGAACTAACAACCTATTGGAATTGAGTAAAGAGATATAAACAAATTATTACTTCAACACACACACATATAAGTCTGTGGTTTCTTTATTAGAAGAAAAGATTATTTCAACTTACTATTGGAGAAGAAAATAAATATTTTTTGATATTCTTCTTCGGTTAGTATGGATAAATCATGTTGACGTTCTCTAACCAAATCTTGTTTATCCAGTAACCATTGTTGGCTATTGAAAATAAGAAATTTGGTAAGTGTTCAATAAAACCTTTGTAACAAAATGTGCAAAGATTTACTTACTGATGCGAGCTTTGCCAAAAATTGCCAGCCATTTTATAAATAAATTATCCAATTGTAAACTTTGATGCGTTGAATAATGCTGAGTTTTGAGAATTTTAGATCTTGTTATGTTTTATACGTAATTATTTCCACATCTTTTAACAAACTTTATTCCAAAATCTTGAAAGACTGATGAATTGTGTATGTCAGAGGGTTATATTGAGAGCAATATTTTCAATATCTTTCACAATTAAATGTGTATTTATATACATGAAATAATTATTTGAATTCTAAAAATATTAACAAGCAATATCGAAAATAATGAATGACAAGTTCACTCCACTCTCAATACACCTCTTGTATCAATAGCTAACCATAAAAAATGTCGTTTACTAAACTCTCTAGAAAATTATATTTCTAATGGATATCTGATAATATTATATAATCAATGAAAAAATAGCAATACTTTTTCTTTTGATGAGTTTCAGAATACGCTAATATCGCAAATTCGTCGTGATTTTGGCACATCCAAATACGAATTCTTTCCGAATAGAATTTGCACACTTCATAAAACATGCCGTGCACTTGCGCCCTCTCAAGAAACATTGCAAGAATTAAATAATCTAAATCGAGCACGGATGATAACTGCGTTCGGTATTCATTGGTAAGTAGAGTCCAGTGGTCTCTATAATTTCATAAAGAAAACGTTATTCGTATTTAAAAAATGCACTGAAGAGCAAAAACTAAAATCAGACTTTGAAACGATTATTCTTTATAGTTACATAATTATAATCGTTTTATAATTTTTCTCGCCGATGCGACAATGACAATTTCTCATGAATTATTCAAAGAGGATTTATTAACTCCTAACTTATAAGTAGTTATTAACTTATAATCTAATGTAAACTTAACCTATTAACAAGTAGATTACTGGATGAGCGATATCTTTCAAGGATAATATTTTACAATAACAGATCCAAAGTGAAATTTTATATTAAATACAGAGAGGCTAATTAAAGATTAAATTACAAAAATAAAATTGAAAACATATGGAGATATATAATCAGAAAAATTATTACGATAAGAATGTTAAAAGGATTAAAAGATGAAACTTATATATTTTGTATTTCTCATACAACCTTTTCTGAATAAACTTTATAGTTCAGTCTTTACTTTAGATTTATAATCGTGATAGAAATCAAGCTAGAATTTTGTTAATAATTTTATGTGATGTATAAAGCAAGAAACATTTAAAAAATAAATATACATATAGTTTATGTCAGTGATACTTACGTCTTTTGTATGAGAGTAAATTTTTCAAATCTTTTTATATCTTTTTAAATAATTTTATTACAGAAAAAAATATTATAATTATTTGTTTTTTTCATAAAATTATCACAAAGTGCAGTGCTATATTTTATAATAATTTTATTTAAAAAATGCGAACATTATTTCCATAGACAGAACTTCGGAATTTGAATATCTATTTTCCTAATTCGAAATAATATAAATTATATTGAATTTTTTCCAAAAAATATACACACTTTGTTATCTTTTTTTAATATACACTTTTTATATCGATTTTATGTTAACTTAATAAGATCTCTTGATTTTTAATAAAATTCTCGATTTGACTCGATTTGAGTGCGTCTTTAAAGATTGACACGTGCCAATATAATTGCGCGCTCAACACATTATGTAAGCTTTATTTAACACATTTAAATAAGATATAAAATTAATTATTAAAGCAGTCTTTTTTTCACAATATGTGACTCCTCGTAATCTGGCGATAATTTATTTTAAGCCGTACCCTTTTTTTTTTACTTATATGTATCACATAATTCTTTGTATTGTTCGGTTTCCTCCTTACATTTATCTTGTGTATACTTATCAGTATAATATAACTTACAATAAAAATCATATAGTATCGCGTGAGGCGAAATTTTTGACATGGCACACGTTCAAAGAAAACAGGTGGCTAACTATCACGTGCGACGGATAATATTTTGCACAGTATAATTTGTCATTCTTTTTTTCTTCTTTCTGACAATAAGAAATAGGAAAGAAAACGCGCGGACACGTCCAGCGTTCAGCACGCGCTTTCTGACAAGCTGTGATTATCGCAACGTTATATGTATTGCAATAATATCGCAACATGTTATTTGCATACATAGTTGGATGTAGGGGGATGTTCGAAGTATGATGCGACGTCACTCTATGAGAGAACTAACAGCAAGACGGAAGTAGTCGGAGAAATGCAGTCGTTTTTTGAACGTTACTATAATATTAACAAGAACTTAATGTCGATGATCGGCGGTTGGCCGGCTCAAAACATATTCATGAAGATATTGATGCCAACCGTAATAATATGTTTGATATTCACCTTAGGTTATCTTGAGGTAACGTATGTTTCTATTACTTTGTGAAAATTTTTGTTGCAAATAAAGTTCGCGGCAGGAATGTTTCCGCATGGCGACATGTGTATGTGCAGCTTATTTTAGACGTAATCACAGATTTATGCATTTAACTTTGCTAAGTCACCTTCAACATTTTTTGGAATATTAAAAAAAATATTTTGAATATTTACGTTTACATTTGTAAAACTCTTAAAAAATTGTGCGTGAGTGTTAACACTAAAAGATGTCTTTTGAACGTTTTTCAAATGTCTTTAAAACACGCGTCTTGTCTGAGTTTTTTTTCATATCGCTTAAATATCTAAAATAATTATCACAACCTATGTGCCAAAAAATTACACATCTGATACAAATGAGTCACAAGTAATCTCAAATCATTATCACTTTTTATCGTTTATTTAAATATTTAAACAAAAAATCGAAAAGTTATTTTAAGTGTTTTTCAAGTCTTAAGTCATTCTTTTTTCAAAAATTCCATCTTAAAGACAGCTTTTTTACAAATTTATAAATATTTGAGACACCTTCGTAAATTTTACGAAGACATTATCATATATTGAGTAAATAATGAATTAATTCCGTTCGTAACAATATCATACAAAGTGTCTCAGATTAATCGCATTTTTCTTTAACCAACTCTAAAGATTTCAGAAAATTTTTAAAATTTAAATTGCTTGTAATTCAGAATTCATTGATGCCGAAAAACTCTAAAATTTCTATCAAGAAAAGTCGAATTGATTTATTGTCCAAATTGATTTAAATATTCGCAGATTAGAGAAAAGGCGATTGATTTGGAACAGTCTGTATCTTTTATTTGCAAAAGTTATCGAAGATAAAAAATTGTTTTATCTCGTAGAATTATTCTCGCCGATGTTCTACACACATCGGCTATTTACATTGTATTTAACATAGGTAAGTGGAACGTTAGAAGTGTACATAGACAATTCGGTAATTATTATTACCGATTTTTAGTTTGTAAAAATAATGGACAGTTGGAGGACCATAACTGAAGACTGCGAATGTTTCATTATCTTTGTACTTGTGACCGGCGGTTACATAAAAATATCCAGTGTAGTTTTGAATACTAAAAACGTAAGACATGTAGAGTGTGATGCTTTTGTTACTTATTAACGCAAAATGCGGATTATTTTATTGTTTGGTTTTACTGATTTCAGATAAATCAACTGTTGTCTGTCATCGATTATCATTGGCGTGTTTTCGTGCATTCTGTAGAAATACAGATTATGCATGATTATGCTGTCGCAGGAAGAAAAATAACGATATTTTTTATCGGTAATGATGAGATAAATTATTTATATATTTTTATATATTTAGATTTTTATGCTGAAATATTATGGATTATGTATCGTGCAATTGACGCAAATCATAATAAATAATAATGCGATTTGCAGTTACTTTTTATAGTTTGCTGTGTCTTTTCATGGCAATACCACCACTGCCGAAATTATTGAATATCATCAAACCTCTCAATGAATCGCGCCCGAACATTTATATGTTCGATGTCGATTATAGTTTTGATAGAGAAGAATACTACTTTACTGTATTACTTCATTCGTATATAACGGCTGTGATTGGTATAAGCATGTTATTATCAGTCGATTCACTCTACATAGTATTAACGCAACACGGATGCAGTCTATTCGCCGCTGTCGGGTATTTATAGCTTATTGTTAGTCATAGTACTTATTTTTAACAACTTCAGAAGAAAATTATTTAAATATTATTGTCGTGACGTAAATGAAATTTTGAAATTTTTAATTTAAAAAATTCTTAATTTTGTAATGTTGTGTTCTGAAGGCAGCGATTAGAGAATCTAAATTCGGCGATAAGCTCGTGGAAGGATAACGAACTCGAAAAAACTCACAAAAGCGGATTAGCAAATTGCGTACAGTATGATAGAGACGAAAAAATTTATCGCGAACTAATAGTTATCTTATGGAAACATCAATTGTGTCTCGAGTGAGTTTTTTAGATCTTTGACATATTGCAAGAAATGTATTAATGTAATCAATTATTTTATTTTTTATATCTGTTTTCAGATATGTTAATTTGTTGAATTTCTCGTTTGGACATTTTTCATTTATGTATATTTTTTTAAATATGATGGCCATAAGTCTCCTCTTAATGCAAGTGAGCGATGGTATAGAAACAATATTGTTTAGAAAATATTTTGTACTTTGTTATCAATTTAAAATTTAACTATGTTGCAGATACTTGCTTTAATGGATCGTAAAGGACAAATGATCAGATTCGTAGCAATGCTTATCGGTGCTTTCGGGCATCTTTTCATTTTAAACTTTCCTGGCCAAAGAATAATGGACCACAGCTCAGATATATTCGACAAAGCGTAAATATATCGCCACAAATTTACTCAGTCCAATATTAGCGAATAAATAGGAAAAACGTGACACAATCGTGAAAGTGTAAAAAGATTTTTCGAAAAAGTATCTACGTAATACTTCTTCCATGCGTTTTGAATTTTTAAACATAAAAGGAAGTAAATGTATTTTGTATTTTTATTTAATATTATGAATTTTTTATACGTATTCTATTTTTTTGCATTATTTTCTTTCTATTTTTGTACTTTTTAAATTTTATTATTGTAATAAAAATTTTTTAAAAAATTGAAAGATTGCTGCTTGGAGATAAGGATGTAAAAATTATACGCTTGTTCATATTTTTAGATACAACGTGCTATGGTATAAACTGTCGCGAAAATCGACGCAGTTATTAAGCATATTACTTTATAGGACTTTATCGCCTTGTACCTTAACGGCTGGTAACATGTACGTGCTATCGCTAATTAATTATGCTTCGGTAAGAATGATTGTTTTCATTTCGATCACTTATAATACTTGCTGTAGTATATATAATTATCTCCAATTTTAAGATGGCGCAAACGTCTTTCTCGTTTTTCACCACCCTATCGTCGCTTCAATAATCGAAAAGATTATATTAGATTTTCAAGTAAAATTAGTTATTTAATATAAATTTTAGAAAAATATTTTGTGCTTTATGTTTCTGTAAGTACAAGAGTAATTCTATTTTGTAAGAAAATGGCAAATAAACTATTAGAATATTCTAGAGTGAACTATTAGAGTGAACTATTAGAGAATTGACATTTCTTAATGAAAATAAATTCTACTGTATAGTGTGATTCTTCAAAGACAAATAGTGACAGAGAAGGCAATAAGAAAAAGATATTTCTTTCTCGCAAAATTTCCCATTAGTGAACAAACTCGATTATTTTATAAGAATGCCGAGATTTTCGCGATGCGATGTGGTACATGAAATCGACTAATGCAAAAATTGTGATGCCTTTATATGTAAGTCGAACTAATAGACAGAAACTATTATCGATTTAATGAGCGTTGTAGCAATATCAGAACGAGCGATCTATGAGCGATCTATATCGATTATTATTAATTACAGGTTTTTCAAAGACCACGATTTTGGCGAAGAGAACGTGTTAGGATTTTGAATAAGAAATCTTCCTATTAAAAAATGCATTTTAAATAATGCATATTAGGAAATGAATGAATGAACGTTTATTTGAGGACACGGATGGTTTGAGTTAAATATGTGCATCTATATTGAAGAAGTTACCGAAAATTTAGTTTGGATATCCCGCTTAGATGCGTGCACTCGTCCTTCATCCTGCGATTGGCTACTCATTTCGAGTTCCTGTTGCGTACCATTGAACTATATAACATATTGGAGTGAGCTTTTCCCATAATAGGAACCAATATGCAGTTTGCGGTCCAAGGATAACAATAGTAGACGGAGACGTTTGTCTTCCTTCCACAATTTATTAGCGTGTATGATGGAGATGTATTATAAAACGAAGACAGACATGAGACAGACGTCCCCGTCCAATATAACTCTCTCTTTTCCTCAGTGGTCCATCCCTACTTTAAGCTCACTCCAGTATGTTATATAGCTCACTAGATTTGGCATGTCAGGTCATTTTGCCCTGACATCCTGTACCGGTCGATGCTGCGCGTGCAGTTGGTGAGTCCGTTCTTTGTTATATTAACCTTTGGAGTTTAATCCATTTTTTTGATAATGGTTAATAATTTTGCGCTCCGACAACGACTTTCGATTCTTATTACCTTCTTTGTCATTGAAAATAAACACATTTTTAGAAACGTATATTAATTTACTTATTTGTGCGTTAAAATGAAAATTTAAGGATTACGGATTAAACAAGACTAAGCTGTTATTCATTAAATACGAAAGTTTTAGAATTTTTTATCGGTGAAAGATAATAACAACTTTTTCATGATATTACTAAAATAATTTTTATTTATAATTATAAATTTATGTTTATAATTATAAATAAAGTGTGCTTTTATTAACTTTGTTGTCAGATCGTTGTGGTATAATTTGCTGTAAATTATTAACGTAATGAATATAGAGAATATTTAAATGTTGTAACATATGGCAAATTGACTCAAAAAATTCTAAGCGTGCTTCTGACATTGATATAAAATAATTTTAATACCGTAATTGTTACCATATTTTACAAAATCAGTTTTATTGAATTAAAATAATTTCGTCGACAAAAAGTCCTTTGTCTGGATGTAATTCGTAAGAATTATTTACATATATTTCCTGTCTTTAATATTATAATTTAAGATGTCCATTGTTTAACGTTCATTTCAGGTTCATTGAAATAGATTATAAATATATCTTGAGTTTTAATAGCGGAAACAGCGAAAATAGCGAAACCAAAATAGAAGCTAATTGCTTCGTAAGTTAAATTTTCAAGTAGTAAAATTAGAAATAATGAGGGCTACGTCTGTTGACTAACAATAATAATTGCTGACTAACAACATTATTAATGACATCGATAAAAAGGCAGAAAAAAAAGTTATTGATTCTGCTCCACTTCTGATAGTGCAGACGCAGACAAAATGGCTCGATTAAAACAATTTGAGACGTGAAAAAAGCAACAAGACTGTATCGAAAAACCATTACGCAACGGAAAAAAAAACCGATAAGAAAATCCAATGAGCAGACAATAAATAGATGTAGAAATAAATTATACTTTCGAATCGTATAAAAACAATCGCTACTCGAAAACGAGCAAAGAAAAAGTTTATCCAAGGTTAATTATTAATAGTGCCAATCAACCGTTCAAAAACTGCAACTTATTAATTAACAAAAAACAGATTAATTCAATATATATACAAATAATATATATCTCTCATCATAAATGTATGAGATATCATTTATAAATATGCAAATATGTCATCGGGAATTTGAACTGCTTGCATCTGATAAGGTATAAATTTCTGTATGACTACGAAAAATGTCGAAAGCTTAATTTACAGGAACGAGGGCGTATCTTTGAAATTTATCGTGAAATTTCGTTTGGGTTTCAAAGTTCTACATTATCGCGCGGATTTTTTTATATAACGTTTTACGATCCCGTTGCAGTCATTTTCTTCGCTCTGAAAAAAGAAAAAATATTCTAACGAAAATTTGTAACGAAATGCGTAGAGCAACAAATCCGGTTTGCTCAATGCAGGCCCAGTCTGACGAAACAGCAAAACTTGAGATCGCCCTATACAGTCGTAGTAGCGTTACGGCGAAACGTCTCAACGGCCGACGCGAGCGGGCATAGTGGGGACGCACGTGTCGACCCTTTTGTCATTGTGATATAACGTCGAGTCAATTCTTGCTTTCGCCTCGTGTACTTCCGATATAGCGCGCGTGCGTGTGCCCTCGAGACACCACGAGCAGCGTAACATGGCGACTCTCCGGCGTGGTTAGTCGATTTGCGACCATCGGCGTATGCAGATCAATGACGGAGGAACGACGACATTGAGTGACTGTCTTCTCGCACTGTTCCGCAGGTATATTGTCACTAGCTTTTTTGAGATGGTTTTTAATCGTACAATCGCCGAACTCGCGCCATCGTTATCGCGACGCGGGTGTTACGTGTCCTGTAGATACGTGCTTGCAATCTCAGTCACAAGCGGAAGTTACGCGCCTTTGTGTAAGCCGGTTTCGCACTTGAAAGAACCGTACGCGCGGATGTGTACGCGGCACGGATCGAGTTTCGTGACACATCGAGTGTTCCTTCTACTAGCCTTCTTTTCCCCGACAGGTCTACGAAAAAAGGGAGAGCTTTAGTATTTTTTTTACAAGCCATACAATGGCTGATATGGATTTTTGGAATTCACGATAAGAATTTTGTCAGGATAGGAATATGTTTCGACACAGAAGGTGATATTACTTTTTTTTAAATAGATAATTATTTTTTCTTTATCGAATGAAAACGATTGTCGGGAATGGTTTAATGATATATGAGAAGAATATTTGAGATTATACAAGGTTAAAAATATATATGAAATAATTTCAATATCTTTTCATATCATCTTATTTAATGTAATTTTTTAAATGATAAAACTACGTATTTTATCATAAGATGTCACAATAGTAGGTGCTACAATTGTATCGATATTGAAAGATATTTATGCATTACATTACAAAACTGAAAGTATATACGTTAAAGTGGTTTCAACGATTTCTCAATTATTTAAGATTAATTTGAAATCTTGAGAAATAAATATATGCGTTGTCAAGAGAGGCAATATCTCAAATTTTTTTAGAATTTTTTACCACAGTTATTAAAATGTCTTTCATTAATAATACATTTGCTCGATAGTTTTTACATGTTAGTCAGACGAAAGTGAAGTCGAACAATTTTGTCTGATTGCAAGAATTAGCAACTGTGCGTAATAATTTTTCTCGCAAAATTTGAAATATTAGAAACCAATTTTTAGTTTTGTAAAATAAACTTACAATATTTTTTATTTTTTGCAAGCAAATTTATATTGTATATAGTAGCTTACGTATAAATACATATCGTTATTTATGTATGGAAAGTACAGTCAAGTGAAATAAAAACTGTTTCTTTTTTTTTTAACTGCTGTTTTTTAAAACAGCTTCTTTTATACATCTAATTCTACTTTCTATATTTTTAGCGATTGTGTCGTTGGAACTACCTTCAGTATTCATCTTATCTCATAAATAATGAAATAATTTGAATCTTGTATTGATAGCATCACAATCCCTACATTGAAAAATTATTTTTTAAAGAATATATAATTTTCAATAGTTTGTACATTTTTCAAATTGCATACAATGTGAAATTTTACTACTTAAATTTTTTTATTAAATTATATGTATATTGCATCACGGGATATCACAATAATGACGTATTTTATTCGCATGAAAAATCAATAGATTACATTACGAACATGAAATTAAAAAATGTTCCATCCTTTCTTTCATAAAATATTTTGGCGTTATATATTGATAGCATTCAATTCTTATACTGAAATATTGCTTTAAGAATATACAATTTCCGATATTTAGATTATTTTTTCAAATTCTTGTACGATGTGAAATTAATTTTATTATTTAAGATATAACTTACAAAATGTTTTTAATGATAGTAAAAAAATTATATCAGGAAAATGAGATTATAATACTTAAAATATTCATCTTTTTATGAAATATCTTAGCATTTTATATTATGATACTTTGATCTTATGATAAATATACGAGAAAATTGGAGTCGACTTGTAATTTAAAAGTTCCTGGAAACTGTCTTCCTATTTGAATTTTAAAAAGAAAAAGGGGGAAAAGAAAGAGATTAACTATCTCTCTTTTTTTCTCTCGTTTTAGGAGATATTAAATTTTTGCAATCCTCTTCTTTTGCACAAAGAGATCGTCGTACACGTGGCGACTGCAAAGTTCAACGATATATATATTTGATATGTTTTGATCCTTTATATATCGAAAAATTGTTCTATTAAGAATATACAACACTTTCTATGCTTATATTTTTTAAATCTTTGAAGACATGTGATATGAACATAATTTTGTTGCTTACGGTACGATTTGAACAGAGAATTTATTTAATATTGAGGATGAAAAATTTCTCATGGATTTTATCGTAGAAACATAAAAGTGATCTTGTATAGATTTTAGAAAAATGAGTATTTTGACATTTGCTTGTCGTGAATTTTATTAAATGAATGACATGATTCATGTTTGTACATGTTCTTTTTTTTATGTCATTCAAATCGTTATTCGTGTACAATTTCAAATTTGCACATGTCTAAAATATAATTTTAGCTGTGAGCTGAGAGGAGGAGAGAGTAAATCTCAAAGAGTGAGTTGTATAAGAGGAAGAAAAGGGAATCGCGTATGTTCATCTTTCTCCAGTGTGTTGACTGAAGAAAATGCTTACAGTCACAAGCTCAAGTCGTTGAACTTTGCAGTCGCCACGTGTACGACGATCTCTTTGTGCAAAAGAAGAGGATTTAATAAAATTTAATATTTAAACTTAAAAATTTTAAATCTCATTTTTTTTCTTTCTTTTTCTTTTTATTCTGAAATTCAAATAGAAAGCCAGTTTCCGGGAACTTTTAAATTGCGAATCGACTCAAATTTTCTCGTCGAAACGAAGTAAATTGTTCAATCAACCCGAGTAATCTTAATGCTGTGTTTGATTTACGCGATTCTAATTGATTTAAAAAGCAAGTAAGTTTGATTATCAGTTTATCATTAATTATCAGCTTTTTTTGCTCAAAATATTTGCATATCTGCATAAACGGAAAGAGCTATTATCTCTGAATCGGTATTCCAAATTACGATTTGATAATGAAATATGAAATGTAAAACTCAAGATATTTTGTAATTGTTCTTTATATACAAAATGTTTTTATTATGGAAAAATTTATGAAAATTAATTTTAACTGCACTCGATGCGATCGGAATAGTGTAAAATGGAAAATACAACAAAACTGTCAAATATTCAAAATTAATAATCGGGGATATCGACAACTTCATTTACATTATATGGAAAATTGGAAATATACATTGTGTTGCATGAAATTCCGCTTAACATCGAAAACATTGTGAAGCAATTTAAAAATTATCGTACATTTATATTCGAATCGAACTCCACTCGACTCGAGCAGATTTTTTAGATTTTTTTTTCGTAACGCCAATAATAAGCGTCTTACTATTATTGGCGTTACTGTCATTACTGGCTATTAGATATATGCTTATCAGCACAGTCTACATATTTAATTTTTAACGCGAAACTTGCGATTAGTTTATTTTGCCGCAGTTTTTTTTATTTTTACATTTTTTAGAATTTCTTATGTCTTTCTTAGTTTTTTAATGAATTATTAATGTACAGCAAAAAGGGGCGCGCAAACGTTTATTCTTGTAATATAAACTTAATATAAATTAATATAAAATTTAAGTTACAAAAAATTAAATCAGATTAAAACATAAGATACAACGAACCGGTTTCTTAGTTCTGATTCTGATTCAGCATGAGATCCTGAAGAGAAGTAATTATTGATAATTATTTTTTTTTTAGATAGCGCGTCCCTTTATAAATTCTAAGCTTTGTTGAATTTATATGTAAGTTTAAAACTGATATCTCAGTACATAAAATTCTGAAGTAAAATCTTTGGTATCTACTTCACGTAAAGAGATTTGCTTTGAAAGCTTATTTCGCAACGAGTATTACATCAACGACTTATTGCACAAGGATCGAGTATCTCAATTATGGTGTTTGAAAAAAGTCGATTCGAATTTGGCTGCTGGAAGGACATTCGATGCGAGATATCTACTGTATTCATTTATATGTACAAGAGGTGTAAAAAACGGAGATGACGACTGAGAAGTATACGTAACGTATTTTGGTCACGTGCGTGTAATGATGCACAGTGATAACATCGCGAGACGTGTGAAGCTCATGAGAAGACTACAAATAAATTTGAAGCTGATGAATTGAATCAATCCCGCGAATATAGAACTAGATGCGAAGAGGCGAGGGCTTTTCATAAGATGGTATTGAACATAAGAAGAGAAAGACGCGTGCTCTATTAGAAATTAAAGGAGGTCAGAGATATAATTATAATCAACAGATTCATTTGCCACGTGCCTGTATTAGCTCATGAATCACTGTTGCAGATAATACGGAGTGTGTATCAATTATTATCGCTTTGAAATCGCACGAGCGTTCGATAAAACGTCATTCTCCCACCCCGCGCCGCTGTCCTTCTAATATTCCGTTCCTAGAATTATTCATTTGTTTGCATGCTTTATCGGATGCATTGGGCGTCAAAGTCCTTCGGATGCGATTGCGTCCGTTCGACTCGGTGGTCGTCGGAAAGAAATCGGTGCTGATTTCTACACGGCGAGCCCCTGGACACCTTCCCACGCTGACACGTGTCTCGGCTTAAAATCATGTCAGAGCGCACGTGTCACCGTCTATGCAGGTCGGCGCGTGTACGCGCGTGTGGCACGGAAGCATTCGTCCGCGTCTCTAATAGAGCGAGTGCGCGGGGTAGAGTGACGTAAAACGGCCTTCCACGTGCCCGCCCTCATCGTACGGTCTGCGCGTGTATCGCTCTATGTAACCTTAACGCTTTAATCGAGTTTTTCCCGCGAACGCCAGAATTATCGCACGCTTCATCACCGTCGCACGACGATGTTTTTTCGCGCGGTCAGCAGAAAACGCAAAATAGATGACTTTGACGTTTGATGAGCGTTGCATTAATCATCGCCACGTGTCAAAGAATGAGAAATCGGTTTTCTCGGAATGAGAACGGTGACAAGTCGATTTTCTTCCAAACGAAACGTTAAGTGAAGATTGCATTTTATAATATTTGCGAGAGATAACTATATCAATGCCGAATATATATTGGAATTATTAAGTACACGTACTAGCTCGTTTGATTACGTCTGTCGTGATGAAAGCAGATACAAAGAAAATCGCCTCATAAGAAACATACACTTTAACAAATCATAATCTTATAACAATACGTAATATAAATATGAAGAGAATATTTAAAATAAATCTAAGATGTTTTTCACAGATAGATCTGATAAAATATATATGCAATGTTAAAATATTTAAAATAAATATATTGCACATTTTTTAATATTTTTAAATATGTAATATATTCAAAGTTTTTAAAAATAGATAAATTATATTTCACGATATTAATGTCTAGACAGTCTAATCAAGGAATTTATATGTTTCCTGAAGTAATTTTACATTTTTACATTGCAAATGCGGAGCAAAAGTATTTTTATTTCTTCTTTTTTTAGTTTTGTTGATATACGTTTTGTATTTGTTTTGAACAGAGTAAATTTATTCTTTGAATACGCATAGAAGACAAATATAAGAAAATATCACGACATGCAACTGCACACAGCGCGGTAAGGCCGCAAAAATTATCGGGAAAACACGGCGGCGTGAATAATTAAGAGTTAAATGTACACGTGCCGTGATGCAGATGCTCTTTACCTGCTCAAGTTTCCACGCACTAATGTCAAGGACTGCTGTATTTATTTATCACATATCATACGGTCACACGTCACGTCTTGCACGTGGTGGATGATTCGAGGTCATAACAATTTCAAATATACGCGACGCGTGCGAGTGGGAGTTGAGGCTTTGGCATTATTTCGGTGCAGGCACGTGCAGTGACGTTAACGGTAATCAGGTCATCGGCTGCATCGATCGTGTCGCTGAGCGGTACGAGCGGCGGCGGAAGGATGCCCACGTGCAGGATACATAGGTCGTCGTCAAAACGCCGGATGTTGCTCCGAAGTCAATAGTAGGACATTAGGAGGGCACGTCAGCTCTCACTAATGACACTATCCGACATGAATCTTGCCGACGTAATAACGATGACTGATTCCTATTGTTTCCTGTGCGCGGATCTTGAAAATAACCTTGATTACCTAACATTTATCTAGCATTGAATGTCACAATATTATCAGTATTTCATAACGTAATCTTATCCTTTCAATGTAAATTGTATATGATTTTGTTACATGAATTTTTGTTGTACAAACAATTTGAATATTTTTAGATACGTATAAATAAAATTAAGATGGGAATTATTTATTTTATGTATTTCATAAATATTAATTTTTTTAGAATATTTGTAATGCATTTATAATATTGTCAGATTGCTATTATTAAATAGCTTGTAGGAAAACTTTAAATTTACCGATATTTTCAATTATTCCTTAGAGCAAAAATTTCAAAAGTAATTATTGTTATTACATTTACAAGAAAAGTTACTTTTATTGAGTAATATGCTTCGATATCATATGATATGCTGTGACATGATGTGACATTATTTGTAAGGAATGCAAATATATTATTTCCGTTAAAAAAAATTTGAAATGTATATATCTTGAATATAAATTTTTAAATCATGTGAAAGATGCATAGATTTTATTAATAAAAATTATACTTTCAAATTGATGTTAAAATATATTTGCATAACAAGATTGATTGCGATTGTATTAATCGCATTGAGCATTCTTATACATCACTATTGTTAAAATGTCTAACAGACGTGTGAGAAGCGCCCAACTTTTTCGAACATCTTCCGTCTTCTTTACAATTCTTCAGTCATCTTTACAATATCTTTTAGATACTTTTCTAAGTTTCCAAGAAATATTACTCAACAAATTAAATTTTTTTATAGATATTAAAAAGTTGATGTGTTTAATTTTATGCTTCTTTTTAAAATATTTTAAAAAATACAAAAAAAATTACATCTAGATTTTTTGCTGAATGTACAATTATTGAAATAAATTATATAATATTTCATTTAAAGATTAAATCTTTTATCATGGACAGATTCTATCACTTTCTCTGAATTGGACAATATTAAATAATAAATAATTGTGATCATGAACAGAATAATGGTTTTCATAATTTGTGTTTCAGAAATTTTATCAAGAATGGCGCCGACTGTTTGCGAAGCGGAGTTTCCGATGACTGGAACCACAATTAACACATATGTTTACCGACGACAAAGATCACAAAACGGTGTTAAACGGCGATCGTTTGCACGTGAACAGATGCTGCTGTTTCGAACCAGGACAATCAATGAAACGCCTCTAACATCTCGAGAAAATTGTTTAGCGAAGGTAGAATCCACGATTCCAAACTGCTCTATTCCAGAAAGAAGCAGTAAACTTCCAACGAAAGTGGATGAAGATTACAAAAAATACATCATGGCAAAGAAAGGTACGATCACTAATGCAATTATATAGCATTATGTTAGGGTTTTCTTTTTTAATTGTACAAGCGCGAAATATCGCAACTTTGTAGTAAAGTGGAACATACTTGGCATTCAGATTTCATTTTCGATCCAGACTTTATTTTTGATTCAGACTGTTGAAGTAAGCGATTTTTGTTATGGAAATCTTAAGCGTCGCTTCATGTCTGGCGAATTATTTTAACGCTTGAAACTGAGAAGATAAAGCGAAATCAATACTTGCTTCACATTCAGAACATGCTGTAAAAGATTCTCTCTCTCTCTCTCTTTTTTTTTGTGTTTTTGTTTTTTCATGTTCGATCAGGTCTTTTCATTCAGTATTCTGCGCGCAATATGTTTTCTGATATGTTCGATTGTTCCCGCAGATCTCTTGAGTATTGTTATACGCACAATTATTCTCGTACAACGCAATCGTATCCTTCAGAAGCGCGTGAACGCGTTACGTGCGGAAACACGGAGATTTCTCCATTCTGTATTAAATAATCCGGAGAATCAGTGTCAGCAACAAGGGGCACAAGTGCCGCCACATTCTGAAGACGAGATTGTCTCGTCGTGTACGGATGAAGTTGTCCCGCTATCATCGCCTCCACTTAGCCCTGATTCGACGGGAAGCTTCTTTCACGAAGTCACGTCCACCTGCGATAATTACGATACCAATGACGAATCGAGTTTGTCTGATAAGTCTGAAGATTCAAGCTGGAGTGAATGTTGATTTTCCGCAGCCCGAAGCTAAGCAGGCGCGTAAGAAATCAGAGAGAACGTTTAAATCCCTCCTTCCCCTCCCACCTTTCGCCACCTTATATATACGTACAATTATACATAGATATATTTTAATATATTTCAGAAGATGTGTTTTAGTGAGGCTCCTTTCGTAATGTAAAATAATATGTAACGTTTAAAGCGTTTACAAATTTTTCTGAACAAAGTTCGCCGCGAAGCTGCAGAGTCTGGATTTGCGGTATCACTAGCTTTTATATACGGGGTGTCTCAGAATTGTGGAAAAGTGGGATTATAGCGTTGTCCTTTATAATTTTACGGATAATGAGATGATAACGCTTAACTTCCATGAAATTTGAATATTTTTTTTTTACTAGGAAGATTGTCTCGAACTGTAGATTATTGGAAATGAAGAGCTTTTTGGAGATTTAGCTTTAGGAGCATTAAACATGTGATAGAATTAGAATTTGATGAATAATAATCAATTTAGAATTATTTGTGTTCTACTAGTGAGATCGAGATTTAACTTAATAGAATTTTTATTTATTGTTAGATATAAGAATGTGAGTATGTTGAAATGTAAGAACAATGGTGTTCCTCGATATTTCTCGTTCAAAAGCCCAATCTCGTGGAAGAAACAACGCTATTGGTCCACCTGACGCCAATTTTGACGCACTCTTTATATCAGCCTTCGATCCAAGTTGCAATATCTAGAGCATCGCGATAAGAAATTTACTGAACAAATAGATTGCTTTATTAACAAGTTCGATCCTTAATTTTAGGGTAAGAAATTTTATGTCGCACTGAAGTATCAGATCGAAAATTTCGGCGAGAAACCGCACGTTTCCGCGCGATTATAAAATAAGAGAAATCCCAATACAATCGTATCTTCTGAGATATAGTGAAGAATTATTCTCGAAGGTTTACATACGAGATGGCGGAAAGTTTTTTGCGCCAAGATTCTTGCTGCTTGAGTGAGATGTGCTACTTAAAAGAAGGAAAGGCTCCGATCCTCTCGGATGATTTCACAAAAATTGTCCGAGTGCCAGCGCGACTGAGAGAGATAAAATATCGTGTCTACGTAAGTGTCGTCTTCAGACACTAAAAATAATTTTTGAAACATCAGACATTTATGGAACATTTAGACGGTATGAGCATTTAAAGAAGTGATCCTGTATAATCACCTTGGGTAGTGTAAGGCGTAGAAAGGAATGTCACTCCTGTAACTAATCCAGTTTATTAGAATTTTGACAGTGAAGTTATTCTCACGTAATCTTTCTTAAGTAATCACATAATCATTTAGCATTAGATTAGTGTGTAATGGATGTTACAAAATCAGTCCGCCAGTTATCCACCAATAGTAAAGTAAAAGAACGAATAGCATTATGATATGATACTTGCAAGTATCAGTGCACAAGTTAGACATCAAGAAGTTTATCTTATGTAATAGAAAAAGTTTTGATGCTAATTTATGCATTGGTTGTTAACTGCCCGTCGCATCGGCAGATAATACCGCCTGACTCTTCCATGCTGCACTGAATACTTTTTTCGGAAATATTTTCCAAGGAGCTTGCACATTTGTGAAGCATTTTGTCATACAAAATTGCTTCGGCAGAAGCAGAATAGAAATTTTCAGAAATGTTACAATCAGTACGTTTCTTATCCGTTGTACTTATATATATATTTCTACAACAGAAAAACGCTTCTGAAATATTTCTAAAATTTTTGCAATGTAGATTACATATAAATGTCGAATTGTGAAATTGCAAAAATGACGTTAAACTAAAAAATTCTGAACGAAAAATTTTAATCTGCTTTAAAAAAATCTATGGAGCAAAAAAATTTGTGCAACTTTCTTTTTCTTATGATTTTAAATGAAATAATTGGCGAAATTGATCTTAGTCCTACTACAGTCAAATTATTTATCCAAATTATCAATATTTCTATCGAGTTTTAATATAAACATCGACTTTTGATGTTATTCATTTGGAATTTTAAACACTGAAAGTTTTTATAAATGATCCAAATAGAGTCAGCATTTCGGAATCAGAAGCGGTAGTAATGATCTGCAATTCCCGTAACACTGAAAAATATAGTAAACGTCTTTGTATTCGTGTTGTGGTTTTGATATGACGTATAGTCATAGTGATAGTTAGAGAGCCCGAAACAGTCGATTCGACAGAGGAAGATTCTCTTGGGTTTTTGACAGAGTACCTATGACATCTGACCTAGTATAATTTAAATAATTACTTAAACTTACCCTGTACTGTCATGGCTGTGAAGTCTATAATTGCACTCGTAACGCATTATCTTCTTCGCAATACGTTACCTGATTCGTGCGGCTGTTTCAGCAAATGTGTGAAACGGATCTGGCTATATTAGAATACACAATTTGTGCGCGAACGTAATTTAATATAACGCAGTATACGACAACTGCACGACAGTTACCATAGATAATCACATAATTCTTAAACCGTCGAAAAATATGATAATCTTTTTTATGAAAGAAGAGAAGCCAGTGATGGATGATATACTTGTGGGAGAAGCAAGAAACTAACACCAGATTTAAACGTAACGCGCTTAAGTCCTAGATTTACGAACGTGGTAACGATTTAATTTTTTTCGCATTTTACGTAACATTTTTTTTATGTGAGCCAATTTTTTATGACTATCTCAATTATGCCGTTGGGAGTATCTAGAAGTATGCTTTAGTTAAGAAGAAGCTTAATTGACATTTTTATGTGATAGTTCCATTAATTTGACGCACGACGTCTAACACGTAGAGTATGCAAAATTATTGGAAATTTTAATTAAATAATTTTATACAATCGGCTCGCGCGAAGTTTAGTTGTTAAAACAATGATATAAGAATAATATATCTGTAAAAAGATTTGATATCTTTCATCTTCTAAATAATAAATTCTTATTTATTTTATGATCGTGATGTATTTTGAAATATTTACATAACTAATGAATCGAAAGCAATGTTAATACATTTAATCTACTTTAGAATTGTGTGATAATTATAGTATTTCAGGGATATATAATTAATAAATTTCATACTGAAAGTCATGTGATAAATATTCTTTTAGCAGTACTCAATCAAACTGTGTATGTGGATAGACAGAAGTGTGCCTAAGGTGCATATACGCGCTATTTTCCGATTACTGGAGCAATACAAATATAGATATTTATAGTAGGCGACATTTAGATAATATTTAGAGACTTGACGTAACGATTAGATCTAATTTCCGTCGTAATATTTGCTGTAAACATAATATTTCATTGTCAACCTGACCACAAAATGTTTCGTGAAGCTGATACGTGTGTGACAGTATGTATGCGAATAAATCTATTACACAGATATTTATAAATAATATCTTGTCATATCACTGTGCTTAATCTTTTTCTAAATATTGCTATAAAAAAATGGAATTAAATATTTACAATTATAGAAATTAATTAAGGAATTAGTACCTAACAGAGCAATATTCGCAAATTGTATCGTATTCCCATGTATATTTTGTATTTACTAAACCAATTCATGTACCAATTACCTTTCAATAAAGAATTAGGTATGTGCTTTATGAAATGCTGTATTCTTAAAGACTTAAATTTACATTTTTGTTCAAATTATTTTGTAAGTTTTTTTTATCTTATTTTTTTTCGATTTTGAAGTTTAAAATCAATATATATTTATTATAACATATAGTGTCTCAAAAATATACATATATTTTTAAGCATAATTTTATATTAATTTTGTTTAATCTATAGATAACTTATTAATAATTGCAAAATTAAAAACGATTAAAAGAAAGCATATATTTGGTATCGTTGCATCCATTATCAATATGATCTAACATGTGTTAAATGAATGAACAGTTTATATCATCATAAATTCTAACCTTTGTTTTAATTAATAAGTATATAAAAAAATAGTATTAATAAGTTATTTACACTTAATGTTTTCCAATGCCTATTTTTATCTTAACGCTGCCCATACACCTTTACTCTTGTAACATCATATCACCTTTTAAAAATGTAAAAAAATAAAGACTTAATTATATTATTTTATAACTATCACTGAGATTAATCACTATGTTGTTTTATTCAAATTTCCATTCAACAATAATTTTATGAGTAAAGATATGCTAAATCGTACAAGATCTGATCTGTTTGATATAAATGTTACTCTCCGATATCCACAAAAAAATTGAATCTTCTATAAATATATCGTTATTTTTAGTTTAAAATATTGCTATTAATGCGCTTCGGGTGATTGAGAAAAGAGTACTACCAAAACCCACAGTTGTAGCAGTGCCTGTAAAAATATGTACATATACTATGTATTGTAATATTTATTATTATAAATTAATGAGAGTCATCTATCTCTCTCTACGTATGTATATACTTACCATATAAATCAATACTAAAATTCTTGCTAGTGGATATCTCCTTAAAAATACCCCTGTTCGAATACTTATAGCATCAAGTGAAGAATAAGCTCTCTTCACTCTTCTAGTAACACTAGTATCAAACGGTGTTTCCATTAAAAACGTGGGAACTTGCGCTTTTGCATCATCTGTATCGTTTATATTATTATACGATATGTTTCTTCGTAAATTGCATGCTGCATTTCTGTATTCGTGCTATTTAAAAAAAAATTACTATTAAATATATATAAAGTTGAGAAAAAATATTTGTAGAAAACGTTTTATGACATACGAAAGTGTAGCATATTTCTAAAGTATCATGTATGTCCGTGAAAAAGTGTTTCATGTCGTAGAAAAAAATCTTGACACTATATATTGCACATATTATTTTCAGATTATAGAATTCAAGCTATTATATTTACTTCAATCTTTTCCAACTGAAGACGTAATGCATTTCTTTCTGTTGTCAAACACTCTAAAGCTTGTTGTTTTAAAACCAGAGTTTGTGTAAGAGTTCCTATTCTCGAATCCACTTCACTACTTGGTGTTGCTGATGCAGATAACTGCGACCTAAGTCTAGAAATTTCCGAATTTTGTTTTTGTATTTGCAAACTGTATCCATTACCTTGGCCAATTAATTCATCTTTCAAAGATCTTATTTCCTGAAACATTTTAATTTTTAACATTTTTTTAATTACTTACATAATTACTCTGAGAATATTCACACAACAACAAAAAATATATATACCTCAGAATGCAGCCTCAGATCTTCTTCTGCTTCTAATCTTCGACGTCTCTCGTTAGTAAGTATTTCTTGATTTTGTAAATTTGTTTCAACTGATTTTTGTCTTATTTTTTCCAAGTTTAAATCTGCATTTATCATTTCTTCGCGTAGCATTCTCAGCTGCTGACACATTTGCTGATTTTCCTCTCTCACACTGTCGCGTTCTTGTCTGAATTCAATATAGCGGATTATATTTCTCTAGAATAACTATTAAATGATTTGTATTAAAAACTTATAAAATATTGAGTGTTACTTTAATTGGTTTAATTCCATAATGGTGGCTTCATCCATAGCTGTTGGTGCACTACTTTTCAATTCTGCTATAAGTTTTTCTTTCTCCTGTAAAGTTTTCAATGCTCTAGCCTTGTGCTGCTCCAATTCAGATCTAACAGAGTTTAATTCTTGTCTGTTTCTGTCAATGACAAATTGCAAACCTACTATTTGCTTTGATTGTTCTAACTTTTCCGCTTCCAAAGATTTCAATTTCTCATTTAGAAATATAATCTCTTTTTGCTGATCTGTTTCTTGCTTTTCAAGTAAGTCATTTTGTTTCTCCGAGTTACCTTCCGTCTCCCTTGTATACTTTGGTACAGATTTATTTTCTACAAAATCGGTTAAATTATCTGAATTATCCGTTTGTGAATAATTTGGCTTTACTTTGTATCTGGATTGCAAATAAGAAACATTCAAATGTTCTTCGACATTATCATGTTCTGCAATATAAAAATGCAAAATATGTATGTATGGAAAACTATGTATATTAATAATTAATAATATATATAAATTAAATTACCATTCTGTGTAACTTCTGGTATTGCTTTATCCGGATCTTCATAATGCACAGTCTGTATTTCATTAGATAAATATGAACTTCCATCTTCTGTATCTATTTCGGCATCTCTATCGTCTAAAGCATTTGGAATCATTTCTATTGACATGTGAGTTGGTGTTGGGCTAGCCCGGCTGCTATGAATCGATAGCTCTGAATCTGTGTCGTCGGTAGGATGTTCTACTAATAACGAAGAGGTGGTTGATGGTGATTTGAAAGATTCGACTGTCCTTTTTGGACTCAGATCTGGAGTATTCAAATATGTAAATAGTGCATCCTCTTTGGGTGCTGTTACATTTAACAGATTCACCGATGTCAAATTTGAAGTAGGTGCAACATAGGGAATATGACTTAATGATTCCAATAACGGTGTCTTGGATGTAGTTTCAGGTCGACTATAATGAAGAAAATGAATTATATTTTTAGTTATTTTCGTACGTTATATTAACACCTACATTAATATATTAAAATTACATAAAGGTAGAATTTTTTATAATATAAATTTATACAATTGTAGCGCAAATAAGATAAAGTAAATAAAAAGAAAATGTATTGTCAGAACTTTTGAATCAACAACTCCAAATATTTATCAATAACAATCGAAATAAACATGAAAATAATTACCCAGCTTCCGGAGAAAGCCATGTAACTTCTGACAGATGACTATGTGGCATCTCGTATTTGTCTTTATTCAAGACAGCTGCTGTGTTTTTATCAATTTTATTTAATAAATTCTCTGCCTTATCAGCAAGACCAGACAGCCAAGCCATACCGATAAAAATCAATAAAAAATACTATTTAAAAAAAATGAGTGAAACTGTGTTGCATGTAGTAATTGTTCGATAAACCACATTACACTCTTAGGAGCGACACGACAAACCACACTGACCAACACTGACAGAATGCAGCTGGCACACAGGTGTGACGGTCTGTTCGTTACGTTGCACTTTTTCTGCACTTGCTCCGCTTGAAAGCAAACCTGATCTGATTGGCTACATGTTCTTTCTTACGGCTTGTACGCATTGATGCATTTGTGTGTCCAATAGGAAATGGTTACTCAACAATTGCGCAATTAAACACGGTTGCACGCTGTTCTATGTAGTGAATGTAATCATTGATCACGATAACAAATTGTCAGTTTCCTTACATATAAACCGGTTTCGAGCACCGTCATACGAAGATAAAGAAAGAATCCGCTAGGTCATAAATTTACATTAATGTGGTTAAGAAAAGGAAAGCGAGGATTTGAAGTATGAGTCTTATGAAAAATTCAAATCAGGTTATCCTAGATGATCAGTTGCAACACTTTATTGAGACTGAGACGAAAAAGCAAGAATTTCAGGTCAGTTTGTTTGTGCAAGTAAATTTTAATAAATTAGATTTATACATGTATAATATATACATGTATTTATACATTGTATATTTTTAATACTTAACGAACGCGATGACTCTGTATCTTTGTTAACTCATTACCTATAATCTACAACTTTATCGAGTAATAAATGAACTTCCAATTCCGCATATAATTTACATAATACATGAGAGTACTTGTTAACTTTTATCATTTTTTTTCTTTTTGGATTCATTTTCTGTAACAAATAGTGATGCTTATTGAATATTCTTTTTTTAAGAACAATGCATAAATTACACAATTTATATTTTCAGCGGTTAGTACATGAGTTAACAGGTATTTGTTGGGAGACTTGTATGGATAAGCCATCGCTACGCTTGGAACCTAAAGTTCACAAGTGTTTTGTGAATTGTGTCGAGAGATTCATCGACACTACTAATTATATCACAAATAGAATAGAACGTGTTGCTACAAGTATACAGCCTGAATCAGATAGCATAGAATGATTGCATCATTCTGAAGATGGATGTATCTATATTTCTCTTCTATAAGTTATAGAATGTTGGTAATATATTTATATATGAACTGACAAACAGTTATAAACATTTCATCATGTTTTCAAGCATTCGGGGATTTTTAAATCGCCACAAACGGAAGTTTATAATCGGAGGTGTTATTGTTAGCAGTGTTGTTTTTCTGACACGTTACACACAACGTAAGCTTAGGGAATGGCAAGAAAAAGAAATAAGAATGTTAATGGAGAGAACAAAGAAATTACAGTACTATGAGAGCACAGAGAGGTCATGCAATCAAATGATATCGTCTCTAACAACAACTTTAAGAAACTCTGTGATTAAAGAAAATGATACAGAAACCATCATAAATCAGCTTAAGGATGGCTCTGCTAATAAAGTAACATCCTGGAGTCAATTGAAAGTGTTAGCGATTACACGATCAACTGTAATAATTTATTCATACACAATGCTAGTTACCTTTCTTAGAATTCAGCTCAATTTGATTAGCGGGCATATGTATAAAAATACGCAGAATATGGACAATACTATTGGAAATGAAGTGCAAGAAAGATACATGGCAGTTTCTAGTTATTTTATATATGAAGGTGTGAAGAATTTGAGCAGTTTTATAAAAAGCAAAGTTGAAGAGGTGACAGCGTTGTTGGCTTTGACAAAGCAGTTAACACTGAGAGATCTGGAACAAGTTTTTTGGGCAATTACATCTTCCGTATCTACTGATGTCTCGAGAGATCCTGTAAAGAATTGTACATATTACATGTTTCAACAAGAGGTTGAAAACAGAGAGACATCTACGTACTCAAAATTAATTGATCAGATGTTAGATATATTGGAAAGTGAGGAAGTACAGGATTTAATGCAAAAAAACATCAGAAGTGGATTCGCTTTGTTAATAGATCACGTATCTGCATACTTCGGTGATGCTTCCGAAATCGATGATGTACACAATGCACGAAACGGGACACTGTTTTCAGGAGAGTCGAGTAAAAATACACCAAACTTGTTAGGAGCCACTACAAGTAATGTGTCACCCAAATTTGTAGACGTTAATAAAACTACGATGGCCTTGGCAAAAATTATTCCTATTCTAAATGGACAGATTCCGGATAATCCAACATCAAAGGATGTAGCGGCAGATTGGCTCCAATGTCTGATATTAAATAACGAATTGAAAATGCTTGGAGCAAATGTTTACGAAGCAGTTAGCTAATTACAAAATTACAGTCCAGTCAATATTATGGGGATTATCAAACGGAAGGATTATTTTATGATATATGTATAATGTAGCAGTATGCAACAATGTAATTTTACTTGAGTTTCATATGAATTTCTTATCGTTCTCAGATATGCTTTTTGATCTGCACAAAATTAGATGAATCTTCACATTAAAACACCAAGCGTTTGACAATTTTGTTTTCTTGCTAATATTTACACCTCGCAAAGGAAACATGATAATCGAGCAGACACATGATTGTACATTAGAACATTTATACTTTACTCCTACTACATCAAACTGATATTTATCTGTTTAAAGTTATATAGCGTTTTATAGCGGTGTGGCATTTTTGAATAAAAAACTTAATATTGTAATAAAAATTCATTGTTTTGATATTGTAATAAAAATTCATTGTTTTGATATTGTAATAAAGTTTTATTGCTATCACTAATTTTACATGAAGTTTCTGTTTACACATTTTAAATACATTACATTTCAATTCTGATTAGCTTGAAAGAGCACAATAATAGATTAAAATTCGTTAATGAAAATGCAATATTGAAAAAATTGCAAGCTAATTATTTCCATAACTTCTTGATCGACATATTTTTCTCAGAATCTTTCTGCATAACTTTTGCTACTGCCATCTCAAAATCTTCCTGAGTTAGTGAACACGACGTTCTCTGAGTGCATACATTCCAGCTTCTGTGCAAAACACCCTGTAATATAAATAATATACATATATTTACATTAAAATATACATGTAATTATTTAAATTATTATGTGCTATGAGATATGATAATTTTTCATTTTTTACTTTATAATAAAATGAAAAATATATATATAGAAAAAAGCTTAAAAATTTGCTGTAGATTTAAGATAGAAATACAATGTGGACTTAAATCTCTACATATACTATTTATTAACATTTAAACTTTTTAAGCGTTTTTTAAATAAAATATCTTATTCAAAATACGAAAAATTAGAATATTTGATACAATTATTCTACGCCATATAATTACCTTAACTTCTGCTCCTGACGCACCAGGCATAAGTTCAGCTATCTTTCTCAAATTTATTCCACGTGTCAAATTCATTTTCTAGAATGGATTTTTAAGATGTCCAGTCTAGCCTCTTCATTTGGAGGTGGAAATTCAATCTTACGATCGATACGTCCGGGACGTAATAATGCCGGATCTAAGATATCAATTCTGTTTGTCGCCATAATAACTTTTATATTTTTTGTTGCTTCAAAACCATCCAATTGATTAAGCAATTCTAACATTGTTCGTTGAACCTAAAAATATAAGTTGTATAATAAAAATTAAATCTACTTGTGCGTCTTTGCCATACATACTTCACTATCGCCACCAGACCCAGATTCAATTCGAGAACTTCCAATAGAGTCAATCTCGTCCATGAATATTATAGATGGTGCGTGTTCTCTAGCCATCACGAAAAGTTCACGAACCATACGCGAACCTTCTCCGATGAATTTTTGAACCAATTCAGATCCAGATACACGAATAAAAGTGCACTCCGTGTGATGCGCGACTGCTCTTGCAAGCAAGGTCTTACCAGTACCTAAAAATCATTGAGATGAAAATTATGGTGGAAATATAATATGAAATGATTCATATTTTCAATTTTTTAACAATGTAATAGATTGCTACCTGGCGGTCCGTACAACAGTACACCTTTAGGTTGCGCAATTCCGAGGGCGTCAAACAATTCTGGATGTTTGACTGGTAACTCTATGACTTCTTTTATTTCCTTTATTTGTTTATCCAAACCTCCAACCATTTCGTATGTAGAATCCGGTACTTTTTCCACCATCATAAGAGAGACAAGCGGATCAACTTTATTTGGCAATATCTTATGTAGAGTGTAACTTTCATTGCGCAAAGCTACACGCGAGTTTGGTGTCACATCATTGATATCAATATTCTTGTCTATGTCTACCACAAATTTTCCTTCGGGATGTACTTTGACTAAAACTTTTTTCTTATCCATAGGTTTAACTACTTCGCCTACATAAGAGCCCTGTTCTTGTAAGAGTTGCAACTCTTCTCGCAACATACGAACTGTAAAAGAAAATATTATGATTAAACATTAGATCTATTTTCGTATGTGATAAAATTATATTAAAGTTTTATCAATTTTGCACATAAGTAATCATATTTATATCACTAACATAGGTACCTTTTGCATTAAGCTCATTGCGCTGTGCTTGCAATCTTCTTAAATTTTGGCTTTTCTCAGCAACAATTAATTGTAATTCCTCGATCTTCGTAATATAATATGGTTTAAAACCTTCCCCCTTGGCATTCTTCTCATCAATATCCATCTGAAAAATGTTCGAATATTTAAGTTATAAACAAATTTTCAGTTCTCATAGTAATAATAATTAAAAACGTTTTTTACCTTATTTGTGAGCGTCATGATTGACCCAAAAGTAATGAACGCTCTAGATAAATATTTAATGTATTTTCATTTAATGCAAAAGATGATGCAAGATGCAACTTAAAAGTAACTTATAACCTTATTTCTCTCTCAAAATTCGCAGAGTCGATTGCTTTTCGCTTATCATCCATAGAAGCGACATTAAGCTTGCTTTTCATGTTCTATAAAGTTTGGGTATAGTTTCCACAAAAACACAATTCATTTACTGTATTAACCAATAAGGCATGAGACGTGATCAGCATAAGACGTCATATTATTGGATCACTAAATGCGCATAATGCATATGTACAAGAAAATAAACCAATCGTGTGTCGCAAATGCCGTGTTGCTTCGAAACGAGTCGTACATCTACATCGACGACGTTTCCGCGGCATAAATATGTAAATACAGTATGGCCGAAAGAAGCGGAAGCTTTCTTACTTTCTCGAATGTTACTTCGTTATGCGTTTGAGAGAGTTGTAACATTTCATTGTTGGATTCAGTCTCGTGAATTTATGAACTCTCAAGCGAAATGACGTAAACGTTCCCCGAAATCTTTTGTAGTGTATTTCGACTGGTTTGATGAGAATGTCATTCGGTTGCCACTGAAGAAAGAGGGAGAGAAAGAAAGAGAAGAAAGATGTTGTGTTTATATCTCGGCGACTAGGACACTTTCGTGAACTCTGAGTACAGGGCGAGGATGGAATGCAACGAACGGAAGCATCAGTGTACAAATTGACGCTATGCCGCGGCAATCTTACACCGCGTGCCCAGACGTTTCGCTTGTTGACGATGTCAAAGCTGTAGGTACTGTCATGGACACAGATGTAGAGCTTGGCAAAAGTGAAGGGTGCGAAACTATCCCGGGGTGCTCCGGTTACTCTAGCATGGTACACAGTAAGAAAGTCATTAAACATGCCTTACGACAGCAAGCCAAACGGCGTAGGAAGAACACGACAATAGCGGCTGGCAATTCTCGCACATTGCCTAGGATTGTTGTCAAACCGTTACCACCACCGCCGCCAAACGATCCACCATCTCCAGTTAATAATGTGCAACACATCAATACTGGTAGTTGTGATACTGTAACATACTTACTCTACTTATATTTTGTTTCTTATTCGGTGCGGAGTGAGTCAGTAAGATATGATAATTTTTTAAAAGGTTATTTATTAAATTATAAGATGCGAATTTGTAACATTTCCTTTATCCAATGGTACGATAAACAAATGCAATTTAATTTTGGCCATGTTGTCACGGTTGCGATAAATACATAAAAGCACATGGTTATTCATATAGTTAATGCTTTAGAATTAACACGTGAAAGAGATCTTGGACACGTAAAATACTCATATCTTATCGACTCACTCTGTAGAATTTTTTGGTATTATAGCTATATGTCCTGTAAATCAGAATTTGGAACAGCATAGCTATTCTTTCTTTAATTGATATCATTTCCCAATGATATCTAATTGATAAATGATTCATTTATCAGTATTTTATCTAGAAAATGTGTAGATAAGTGGGTAGAAATAAGATATTTAGTACAAAGTAAAAAGATAGATAAAATTTTAGTTTGATGATATACATGTGTTTACTTATTCATCATATATTACCTTGATTTAATAAATTTTTTTATTGTCAAGTTATATATAAAAAGATACTAATTATAAAGATATATTTATAATGCTAAAATATTTTTTGTTTATGATAGAAATTTTTATGAAAACTAATATATAATTGTAACTTAATATTTATTTTCTCAATTTAATTTAATAATTTTATAAGATAATTTAGTTTTTGTACAATTATCTTCTTCAGGAATAATTAGAAAAAAGATAATTAGCTAATGATATTTTAATATACAGTTTCATGTCTTACGACTGATGTGATAATAAAATAATTCTCAAATATTTTGCACAATTATAGCAGCGGAAGAACCTGCTGCCACAATGAGAGAAGTTTTGGCTAGTTTACCTGGATTTAGTTTGAAGTCAAGTCGCAGACGATCTACAAAGAGATTGTCAGCAACTGCGCAATTAGAAGCTGGTCTTGTAGATTTGGAATCACCAGCAAGCATATTAGCAAGTACAAGCTTACGTGCTCTATTAAATAGGCATACATTTCAAGGTTTACCTCCACTGTATCAACGGAAACTTGCGCAACTTCTACCTGCTGTAGATAGACAGGTAGTTCTCATAACTTCTTCGCACTCTTTACGCTGTGCGATTCAAAAATTGTTTAGAAATTTCAAATATATGCTACGATTTAATTTGTGCTATTTTGTTACGTTATTTTCAGGATGCTGCTATCTCTGGATTAAACAATGAATTCTTCGCAAGAGCTTGTCTAGAATGGCGGAAACGTTTAGCCGAAGGAGAATTCACTCCTGAAAATCAGCAACGCCTGAAAATGGAAGCGGAGCGGGACAAGAATAAGTTAGATCCATGGAAAGTGAAACACTTCGAACCGATATGGGGCGAAAAACGAGAACCTAAACTCAAATCGAGTCTCCATTATATCACCGAGTCACGTTCTAGTGGTGCAGTGACACGTTCGAGTTTAAGACTTCGTCTGGAGTCTAATGTGGATATCCCTGCATCGGAACATGCTGTCTGTCCTATCGTGATGACAGAAGATAAGGTCGACACCAGCTGCAAGACCGAAATCAGTATAAAGAGTTCCGATTTGGCTAATTCTGAAGAAGCGCAACAAAATCTACTGCCTTTGGATTATAATGCATTACCGGAGCACTTGACTGACGAGAAACACTTGGACGATCCTCTGCAGATAAGTTCTGTAGATGTGGCGGAAGATATTCAAATGCATGAAAGTAAAGCCGAAGAAATTGACAAGATCACGGATATTTGTGAGAAGCAGGATATAGCTGAAGTTAGCGACATTACGAGGCAAGTTTGTCAAGAAAACATCTCGAATATCTACGACGAAGAAACGGATTTCTCCTCCGGCGAGAAGAATTTGCAACCTGTAGAAAATAATGTAATAGAAGCGTCGGAGGAAGACACTGTGTTATTGCCGGATGATAATTCGTCGCCCAGATCTAATGAACAGATAGAGCGCGCGTCGCATACGTCCGCGGATTCAATTTCGCAGTTATCCAACGAATATATATCGCAAACATCCATAGATCAAATTTCTCAAATCTCGAAAGAACAGATCTCGCAAATATCTAACGATCAAATTTATCAAATATCGGATTGCGAGACCACGAGTATCCTTGACAATTCATCGCCGCAAGATCAAGTCAGGCCCGCGGATATCGTCATGGAGGACACCAGTCTGATGAACAGCGATCAAACTGAAGTAACACAGGCTTCGCATGAGAATCCGGCGGACAGCGAATCTCACATTCCAGAAGAAATGGAAATTGACAGCGAAACTTTGCAGCGTATTCACGAACTCGAGGTAAGTCAGAGTTTTGGTATATCGTGAATTATCAACAAATTGCAAATGTGTCTTGCGCGAAATCGGTTCGATAAATAACTCGAGAGCTTTTCAGAAAAGATATCACGCAACTGTCTATTTGTCCGTTTTACTCACGATGACTTTCGGACTGTTTCTTTCGTTGTCGATCGTTTAGATTCCCGAACGACTCGATCGTGATTCTTTGCCCGATTGAGCGTCGAGTTCGGTCGATGTTCGGACGGTAGACCATTAAAATAATATGTGAATCCGTACTGAAACCATATTGAGACAGCGAACGCACAGAAATAGACATTGCCTTTGTTACTGACAATGGCATTAATTATATTTCAGGTACGGGGAGAAATGCGCGAAATGTATGAAGAGATTTCGGGATGTCCGGAAGAGATAATATACCCCATTCTTGAGGGAATGGAAATGGCTTCGACCAATGCGGAAGTAACGGAGTCGCAAGTTGTATCCGGACAAACTGAAGACACTAGGGAAACAGACATAAATGCCGGTAACGAAGATGAAGCTCTTCGGGAGGCGAATAATTATGTCTGCTCTGAAATGCTAGAATGCAGCTGGACGGTGGATCCGACTGTTAACAATATCAGTAACAACAATAACAGGGTAAGCATATTATTTATCGAGCGTTTTGATCAACTGAAGACGAGTGTAAGTAAAGTAAATGAGATATCGCGCTGCGTATGCCACGCGAAATCTAAGATTAAGATGATTTAATCTTACTTATCGTTCTCGTTCATATTTCGAAATTTTATATTTATATTCTTTATCTTTGTGCAAAGGCGCAAGAGGAGCTGCAGGTACCCTGGCCTTTGGTGGCAGCTGCGCTCGACGGATCTGTAGCGGCTAATATCACAGTAACAACGCAGGATGAGTGCAGCGAAACCTCGACGACGACCGACTCTACGAGTGGTTCGCAGCAATTTATTAACGCGGATACTAATGTAGAATCCGTCAACTGTATTCAGTTGCCGGTTGTTCAAGGAGCCGCGTTTCAATCGGACGGCTTAGCCATCGGCACGCCGGGAAACAGTTGCGTGATGAAGAGCTTGCAGTCGCAGAGTCCGCCGATTATCGCGTTTCCGCAGCTGCAGTCCATCAGATTCGTGCAGACCAACTTCAGTCCGGAGCAGGAGACGGCATCCTCGCTGACAAACAACTCGCCCGCGATCTCGGCCCAACTTCAGCCCCAGCCAAGCGCCGCCCCTCAGGTTAACATGATACGAACGCAGGATACCAACACTCAACTAAGTGCTCAAAACGGCAATGCACGTAATAACGTGAATCAGAACACCATCGCGACGCAGGGTCAAGTGCAAAATGCTCTCCCGACTGCAATGGGAGTGCAGCCTCAGAATCGCGCGCAGAACGCGATCGTTATTCAACACCAAACTACAACGTCTGCCCGACAAATTGCAGCGGCTGTGCATCAACAGCAACCGCAGCAGCAGCAGCAGCAACAACAACAGCAGCAGCAGCAGCAGCAGCAGCAGCAGCAACAACAACAACAACAACAATATGCTGGACCATCCATAACTGTCTCATCGCGACCATCACGTGTATCGAATCAAGGCAGCCAAAGAGGCTCACGGAGCAGTAATAAAGAACAAGGTGGAGGTAGATCGAGAAGTTCTACGAAAGAACCTCCGGGTGCTGTCAATTTGGAGCGCAGTTATCAGATATGTCAAGCGGTAAATTAATTCAATATGCAATCTGGAATTATATATAAAATTCGTAAAATTACATTATTTAATTTCGTTATTTAATATTACATAATATATCAAACATATTATTTAATATTATTTAATTTTAATTAAATAAGCGTTATTTAAATTTAGAAGAGTATTGCTATAAAAATATATAAATTATCGGTGTGTGCGATTCGTGTTACGAAGAAACGCTGATATTACTTTAGGTCATACAAAGCTCACCGAATAGAGATCAATTGAAAGCCCATTTAAAGCCACCACCTAGTTTGCTCGCTAAAGGAGATGGTGCATTTACAACTAGTAAATCTGGCGGACGCACCCTGACGACAGTCAAACCTCAGAAAACGCAGCAAGCGATACAAAATAAACAAGCTCAAAATAAGACGCAAGCCGTCATGCTGAGACATGTATTCCCTACAGCGCGTCAGGCTACATCAACGGAGGTACGTTATTAAATTACATTTTGAACTACTTAGATTTTATTCTCTGCCGTACGCGACACGTATAATTTAAGGGTAAAGTATGTTAATCTTCCTGTGAAACTGACAATTTTATGAGAGATGTACAAGTAAAATGCCGGTAAATTTTATGCAATACGCTTAGAAGAAAGTATGATAAAATTCTATAAAATTTGAATAAAATTGCAATAAATTTTTTAGAGGCAAAGAAGACAAATAATTAAAATACACAGTTTTTGCTATAAATATAAATATATATCTTTAATTTGACACTTTGACTTTTAATGTTTCTCTTATATGAAATGTACTGGACACTTGGACGTATGTGCATACTATTTTATCCTTTTTTTGTGTGTACAGTGCTAATCTTGCGGGTCGCTTGTGATGATCTCTGTATCATACAGGTACCTAAATAAACAAATCTTTACATTAGTTTTGGGTTTCTAAATGCAGTAGAGATAGTGTGACTTTACTTGTCAGACGCAACAACATAGCGACGTATAATGCTACCAAAATGTATTCATTTATATTAACGAGGATGAACAGATGTATTTTTTTTTACAAAATTAGACGGACTTGCCATATTATAATTGAAATGTAACTTGTACCTTCGTGGACAAAATTAACTTGAATGTGAAACATCAGTTCAAGTTGCATTAAACGTTCGTGCAATCGAATCCTTTTAAAGTTGACCGAACGAACATTCATATTATAAATTCTCTCATTTTCATTGCAATAGTGCTGAGAAGTAAAACAAGAGAGAAATAGTGTTTACAGAGTTTCAACTGGTCTGCAATAAAGAGCGGTCAACTTTTAAAGGGGGTGAATTTCTGTGAAATTTGACGGTAGCGATTTTATCACTCACATTTTCGATGCTTTGTAGGTTACAGAAAGCACTCCTATAGCGCAGCTTGGTTCCACCACCAGCAACGGTCTCGGGCAATACATACTTGTACAAAGAACGGGAGTCGGAGACAGTGCGCCAAGAGCGTCATCCGCTCCTCCAGTACCGCCGCAGATCGCAGGGATGGGCGTTGGGGTCCATTTGGTGCGAGGGAGACCGGCGAGCGCCGGGGAGGGTTCTCACCAGGCGGTTACCCTGAAAGCGAGAGGCGCGGATAGTAGAGTGACGGGCGGCGCGGAACCCGGTGCACCCGGTATGATAATTGGCGGCGATCCTCCACCACCCTGTGAATGTAATATGCGTGGAGCCATGGTAATTTGTCGGCAGTGTGGTGCCTTCTGCCATGATGATTGCATCGGGCCTCAACGTATCTGTGCTACCTGCCTCATACGTTAATCATTCTTCATCCAACCATACGTGTATAAATTTCAATCCGTTATAAGATAAGAGTGCTCGACATTCGGTCGGTGGATCGTCAGGAAAATATCTAAACATGTTAATGTATTCAGAAATTTACTGTAACACAATATTGTAAGGTCCCTTGCAGAGAATTTTGGTAATGTGTTTAGAAATGCGAACAAAATTGTGCGACAAAATGTGATGAAAAAAATTGGAGGCCAAATTTCCACGACAGTAGTATTGAGCATAGCTTGTTTTAGTAAATTTTAAATAAATGTTATCTACTTGACTAAGTTCGCATAAAATTATTTAATCTGAAAATTATGTCTAGCACTCTTATATTAACGGAAGTTATTGCAGGATAAGGGTGATAAAGGATACAGTTGTAGGTATTGAAATATTCAATTAGCTATGCTGTACAATAGATAAGATATAAATCTTTATTTTATATTATTCTGTTGTCTTGCCTATCACTGTTTTATTAAAAATTGGTGAGTATCTCTAATGCATTGCTAACAAATAAATTATACACATTTCTAAATGGATTTTACATTCATTTATTTTTTTATCATAATAATTTTATTATAATAATTGCAGCAATTTTCCTAATTAATATATGAATTTACTAATCAAAATTTTGTTATCTTTTTGATACAATATCATTGAATAAATTGATATATTATTTATATTTACAAGATGTAAATAAAAGTATATTTAATATATCTGATTACAAGCAAAATGTTGGAGATACTTTCTGCAAAGCTTTTTACTAAAATCGTTAAACTCTAGTCTACAGTATATCTACTTATGTCATTTTTACATTTATTTATTGATAATGATTTCATATTTTTTTAGTTTTTATATTTTTTATTGCCACTTCATATTCATGATTATTACAGAAACCATTCTTCATTCATAATTATATCATGTTATTGCAATATGTGGAATGTATAATTCCATCTAATTCCAATATTTCAACTGTATTCTTGGAACCCTTGCTTAAAAGTTTAAGACATAAATCTCTTATATACCGACTCTTAATACAGTCTTCCACTAAACATCACACTCTGTAATATGTATGTTTGTTATTTATTTATTAACACGAATTTATTTTTATTATAGCTGCGTAGAGGATATTCCTGTACATGTTGATCTCGAAGCTAAACGACAAATCCTTTGTACATGCTCTCTTTTAATCATTCCTTTGGAATATAGAAACACCATTGAACTCTTTGAATCTTAATATAGCTCAGACTACCTTTTGCACATGTATTAGTACATGTTGTATGTCAAGCTAATATTGTCGGACATTGTGTACAGGAACAGTAATTTATCATGAAAATGAATAATTAAGATTAACGACTTATTGCAAATAATAGGAGAGATAACTGAATATTCATAGCTATAACATAGATATACATATGTAGCCTGTATTGTTCGATTTTATGTCACTTGGTTACAATTAATATTCTAATTAACTCTTTGATTAGACCGAGGAATGATTTATCGAGAAATCATGATTTCATCATCGGCATGATTTCGGTTATATGTTTTGGTTCAAGTTAACGAGAGCCATTTGTAGAATATTTGAAAGTATTCTAGCATTACAGTAATGATCTTTTTAGGAAACGACTAGGGACTTTGTTTTTGGAAGTCCTGATGAGATGATTATACTATTTCTAACTTGAACTATAAACATATGTTGTATTACATGCTATGACTGTACACCTGATCATTGCTGACAAACGCATACCACGGTCTAATTCATTTCGATCATTTTTATTTCTCCCTGATTTATTTAGAAATGCTTTCTTTATATAAACATAATTTATAAATCTAATTTTTTTATATAAAGATTATATAAAGAACATTTATATTACTAATGAGATACATCCATTATTTTTGTCAAACTGACGTACACGATCGATGTTACTTGCCAGCATTAATATTTGCAATCAGGCACATGCCGATGTTCGATGCTAAATTTTTAATTTAATTACAATGTACGAGGTATTTCAGATGCTTTGAATCTCTAATATCCGGATCTCATATGTTGAATGCTAAATTAAAAAGAATGGCAGCTATTATGATGTTAAGGCCCTAATAAACCTTAAAAAATTTAATTACATTACAAAAATAGATCATAGAATCTTATCAAATGGATTTTTTTAATTAGGTTCTTCAATTTGAGATTTAATCACCAAGATTTCAACGTGAAAAATTATGGTTAATAATTTTCTTTCAAATTTTCTAGCAAATTTCCTGCATATTTTTCAAGAGCAGAAGATTTAATAAACACAAATAAAATGTATCATTTTTATATACGTGTATTAATTATTTTGATATACTTATATTAATTAAATATTATTTTAGTATTTGATTAAATGAGTATATAGTATGCACGGGGGGGTCGCATTATATATATCGGTTTGAATATTATTAATATTACAAAGAGAGGAAGAAAGAGGAAAGAAATATCATATCTTGAAAATGCAAGAGCACAATGCTATTTTCAAACAGTTGCAGTTAGTTGATGATGTTGAATTTTTAATCATTTACTCTCTCAACAATTCACAATCAAAATTGTTGATAATGCTCTGTGAACTCTCATATATTAAAGATATTTACACATTTCATATGTATCGTTAATATATGTCGGAGTTTCCAGACAAAAATTGTATCGCTGAAACTTAACGAACTTACAAACTAATATTTCAGTTTACAGTAGAAATTTTTAGATTTAAATTTTTGTTCTCGGTTTTACATAATGTGTTTTTTCAATCTTTTTTTTTATTTTTTCTCTTTCTTTTTTAACATAATAAAAAATTGACCAAAATTTTCTATTGAGGATATTTTCGAAGAATTAAAGCGTGGTTTTAAATAAAAAAGAAACATTATTTTAATATGACTTGTGTGATAATTAATCACCCGACACGTTTAATTAATTATTTTATTTGCATAAAATCTAAATATGCATAGGTTGTAGATTTAATCAATATTCGTTTTTTTAACAAATTGCCAGTTTGTGCTAGCAAACATGTATATGTAGAAATGTAAAATATTACTTACATTTTGTGTTATTGGAAAAATATATTCACTAGGTAAATAAAAAGCAGAACAAGACCGAAAAAAAAACGTGACTGAACTCAAACAAATTACGGTGTGCAGTTATAACATTAGAATACTTATTATGTACATTATATTCATTCTATCTCACACCCCCTCGATGTGTATACAATTATAATTAGACCTTCTTCTATCATTGTTACGATCATATGAAGATTTTAAACGGTTACAGGTTTTGACGCAATAATATTCTAAGTCGCACGATGAAAAGCGCATCATTTTTAAGTTTATATATATATATATACATTTTTTCAGACTTAATTTTGTTGCCATTTAATCATATTACACAAATTAATACGTGAAGGAATAAGGAGTTTTGTTCTGTTATTCCCCTGTGAAATTTATTCTGTGCGACTTAGCGTGTTATTGCCTTAGCCATTAACGTATGCTTAACGAAGTTAAGAAATACGCATTGCATTGTGTCATACTTCTCTTAAATATTTTTAATCATGTTACTTACCGATATCGATTATATATCATGTCATCGTGATTATGACGTTTATTTTTTATCAGTAATAGTAGTAATTAGTATTATTGCAATCCGATAGAAGTTACTCTGTATCCGTCGCTCAAATGTAAATAAAGTAATATACGTTTAATATGGGAAGTTGTTTAATGTGCAAATATACGTTATGTAATTAGAGCACGTTCAGTATGCATATAGAACACCGAATAGACATTTAGCATTGAATTATAACAAACGTTGACGCCATTTGTTTCATTAACGAAACTATAAGGTGAGAATTTACGAAATAATTTTGTATATTTGACTCATGTATCTTGCTCCTTTTTTATTAAAACAGAATGTATGATTTACGACAGAGAAATTAATCGTTTATAGAAAGAGAGAAAGAGAGAGAGAGAGAAAAAAAATATATATATATGAATCAGAAATTAAAAATTTATTAAATAAAGTTCTTAAGAAGTACTTATAGGAACACCTAAATAATTATATCATCTTAAACTGAAATTGTATATATAAACGTTGAGTTGCCCTGTATTTTATTAGTTACAAATAACACATTTCTAATACCAGAATGGGGAAAGAAACTAATATTGAGACAGCGCTCTTTTCTTTTAGCCAAACAAATACCATAAAGTTCTAAAAACTCGCTCAAAATGAATCGGCACTGCCTCAATGTCGCCCTTTCTCTCTCATTCACTCTAATCACATTATTCACATATACTAAAAATACAGTATGCTCCTTCCAATAGTATATCTAGAAACAATCTATAATATGCGTATAGTTTATTAATACGCGAATACGTGGCAAAATATCGATCAAGTAAAAGAAAAAAATATCAGGTTTTTTATTTGATACTTCGTATACAAATATGTAGTTTTTTAAATTCAATTTTCTATAGCTAAAAGGTTAAAGGAAAATTTTACTGTCACAAAGTTAACATATAGTTTTACTAAATTCTGTTTTCTATCGGTAGAAATTATCCGCACGCGGTGTTTTAAGGATCAACCGTGCACATTTACCGTTTTACTGTACAAAGAAAGACCATAGAAAAATAAAAAGAAGCATCGAAACAAGATGCCTCGATAGCAGAGTCAACAATATGAAGAACGTCGCGCTAATATTATCTTAATTACGACAATCGTTACAAACATCTCCATAAGTACGTTCGGAAAAATGTCAGAATACCTACTTTGGAAACGTTTGCAAAGCGTTTTAAAATAGTACACACTTGAAATCGTCGTTGCAAATCATTACGAAACAAGAGAAATTTGAGAAAAATATTCTCGTAACTCTTGTTGCAACTCGTTGCGAAAATATATGTCGAAAAGATACCGAGAAAATAAACAATTTTAGGCACTTTTGAATTTTTTGCACGCTGTGTTTATTCGCTTCAGGCCGTGATATTAAATAGGAATTTTATGCGTTTGTTTATATTAAAACAAATTATTTTACATTAATAAATTTTTATTTAAATGAGAGCCATTTCAAAAATGCCAGAAAAAAAGAATTAATTGATATCTTTAACTAATTTTTTTTTTTCAAGTTTCTATCGAAATAGTGCCATGTCATACGTAATAATTAACAACGACGAATAAAATATTACTATTTCTTAAAAATCAGGTATCGATAATCAATAACATTCAATCAAGACATTGAATATACCTTAGTTTTATCTATTGTAGCAGTCGGTTTAAAATTTTTTATTACTATCGGAATACTTCCGAATACTTTAGTTCACTTTCAGAAAAATACTTTTAAAATACAAAATTAAAAAATTATACTTTTTTTATTTGTCCAATAATTCATAGAAATGTTTTTGTACTAATTGAGCAAGTTTACTTTGTACTGTCTTGATTGAACTTTCTCTAGCGTTTTATCAACTTTCAAGTTGCCATTCTATGCGCTTTCAACGGTAAGCGCATTATTAATTAACAACTACCACAACCTCAATTCTGATTTATACTCAGATTGAGCGGAAATTAATACATTGTTCTTTTTCATTCTAATAATGGTCAATCAATTAGCCGCTTCTAGTGCCGTTTCTTAGGAAAGATTGCAATTGTTGGGCTGCACCCTAAAAATCAAATCAAAATGTAATTAAAATATGATGTAAAATTGTGATTTATTTTTCAACACAACACATTACGCGTTTGAATAATATTTTCTTAATTATCTAGAGAATAATTCTTCAGTCTCTCGAAATCTTACAAAGAAAGATATCAAATTTGTACATCTATTATCATCAGGATACAATAGGAAAAATTTCAAATCTTTGTGAATTAGAAAGAAATCTTTTAATTAATTGAGGAAAATGATTACGAGCGTTCACGAGAGAAGGATATTTACCGTAATAGCAGCACCAAGAAACTGGCCGAAGGCTCTAGTAGCAGTAACCAGCCCGCTACCTGCATTTTCTCCGAAGAGAGGAGGTGGGTACGTGGAACTTGGAGACCATGTCGTACTTTGTAGTGTTTGCCTTGGTCTCGAGGTTGGTCTCGATGTCACTTTTCTTGTTGTGCTGACCACAGGTCGAGTGGTCGAGCTAATGGCTGGCTTATTGGTAGTTGTCGTTGGTCGGCTAGTAGTCGAGCTTGGATCTGGTTGCGACTGGGTGGTCAAGCCTTGACTCTAAAAATTATAACAATTTTTAAATAAGATAAAAATCTAAAGTGATTTGTGTTCCGTATAATATTTTGTGGCGAAGTCGTATAATGATTATTTGCTAGTTCTTTTTTAGATCTGTTTAAGTTTGCCGATGCATTCTTCAGTTATCACATTTTTAAGGCTAAATATTACGATAAAATTTGTACCGGATTATACTTTGCAGTTTTAGCAAAAATCGGCGGACGAGAATAAAAGATTAACATTTTTAAAATTTTCGAAAATAAGCGCTCTCAAATCAATTTTTTATTAAAGTAAATCTAACTTAAAATTAACTAGTAGACAAAATTGGTTTTATGCCGATTATGAGTATTTGAGTATGAGTTTTATAAATACATATTTTTTACTCACGGCTAACTGTAATTGTTCCCTAAGTTTTGTTGCTGGTGTAGACGGTTCTATGCCTTGTTGCTTTAGAAGTAGTGCCAATAAAGCAGCAGGATTTATTTCAGCTGCTGCTGATGCTGGTGTCGTACTAGACATGCTAGCTCGATTACTTAAAATCGCCCTTAAAAGGCTTCGTCATCTTGGGTTATTCCACTTGTTGGAGAAGTGCTCGTTTTCGCGTCTAATATAAAAATTGAGTGTGAATTAATAAAGCCAGTAGTTCGAAAATCCGAAAAACAAAATCAATGACATGTACAAATTAATTTTATATTTTAAAACTTTTTTTTTTCTATATCTAGCTCTGGTCGAGTTGACAATTTCGTAAATATAAAGTAACTTTGAGCTTATCTATGCAACTTGATTAATGAGATTATTTTCGAATATATTTTTTCAATATACAAAATCCAAGCTAAATAGTTAGAATTTAATGTGCATTTTTTGTTGAAGCATTTTATAAAAAGGAAAAATTTTGATTTACCTGCTTGCACGGCTTGCAAGAGCGCAGTCAGGAATTTTGCGTCATCCTCCGGTGAATACGTGGACGTGGAAACATCGCTCAATCTAGGATTCGGATTATTTAAAAACGCCTGACGTGTGGAAATCGAGCTTGGCGTTGAAGCGGATGCGGAACCGACACTATCCACAAACGATTTCGTCGAAGCCACTTGAATGTCCGAGATATCTACGCTTCTCGGTGTTGTGTGTCTGATCGGAGCCGTAGACATTATGTTATTCTTATGCGTAGTTGATTTTACGATCTGTGCTGGTTTCTGAGTAGTTTGGACAGGCTTAGGATTTGCCGCTTTAGTTGTAGGCTTCTGTTTTCTAGCACTCGCTGCTGTGGACGTTTCGAACAAGTTGCCACCGAATAAGACTCGCCATAAATTCGCACCAAATCCTAGGGGCGCTCGAGCAGTGGTAGTAGTAGGCCTCGTTTTAGGCTTGGCAGTGATAACGACTGGTTTCTTAGTCGTGGTAATCGGCACGGTGCTGGATTGTATCGACGCAGTCGTGCTTGCCTCAGTGTATTTCTTTGTGTTTGATGTGCTAGAGCTTAATTGCCAACTCGGCGATGATGTGGTTGAACGTGGTAATAAATCGATCACTATCGGTTTAGAAGACGGACCGGGTGACAAGAGATCCTTGATCGCATTAGAATCTGTATTTAAGTTTGAGCTTTGAATTGCTTTCGGCGATCGTGTCGGTCCAGGTCCAGCTAATGCAAGCTCTAAAATCTATAAAAAAGATAAAAAATATCAATTGAGTTGTTTGTTAAATTTCTAATAATTTGGAAAAAGATAATAGGCGCAATATTATCAGAAATATTACGCTTTACTTTACTTACCCTGTTTGCTAACATTTGTTCTACTTCACTTAGCGTGCTCGGGGAGGTTTTAACGTTAGCATTCTGTAACTATAAAAATTTTATTATATCACGTATAATTTTGTACTCTATATAATAAAATAGTTCAACGTTTCTTCGTACTTGGAGGAAAGAAAAATATATTAAAATAATTGAAAATAAATAAAATAGACTTACCAATGAATTTAGCAGAGCTAAATCACCGAACGTTGTACCAAATGCGTTTTCCTTCGTATTTGCTTGTTTATCTTTTGCATTGTTTACGGATCTCGTTGTGGTAGATGATGGCGGAACTGTTCCTATGTTCACAGCGTTAGCAATTATCGAAGAAGCGGTTGTTGCAAGTCGAGGAGTCGTAGATGTTGCAGCTGTCGTTGGTTGTCTCGTCGTAGTCGTTGCAGGGGTGGTTGTCGACGTTGAAGTAGTAGTAGTCGTCGTAGTTGTTGTCGTAGTAGTTGTCGTAGTGGTGGTAGTAGCAGCCGTGGTTGTCGATGGCGTGGTAGTAGCGACAGTAGTTGTCGACGGTGTAGTGGTGGTACTAGTAGTAGTAGGAATAGTAGTACTAGTAGTAGTAGGAGTAGTAGTAGGAGTAGTAGTAGAAGTAGTGCTCGCAGTAGTTGTGGAGTTAATTGAGGCGGCAGTTGAGCTAGTTGACGCAGCTGTCAATGCGTTGTTGCGTTGATTATTCCTTGAGCTCGGAGGCGGCGTGAAGATTTCTACCAAAGAGTTTACGGGACGTGACCTAATTGGTACATTTCTGTCGGCCGGCTCGTCCTACACATAAAGATAATCTGTCAGTAGATGATATAAAAAATAGCAATAGTTAAAAAATTATCAACTCAACTTTGTTGTTTAGCTTATTGATAATTTTCAATATTCGTCTTAATATAGTTGTTCAATTTTAAGCATTGCTTTAATTAGAAAGAAGTTTGAGAGATTCAATATTATGATTAATACGCACCAATTGGTTCGATGCCACGGATGCCGTTTGTACAGGTGAATTGGTGGTGATGCCAAATATCTGATCGAGAGGATCTTTCCAAGGAAAACCGGGAGGCGCTGTTACTATGCCACCACCCGATTGATTGCTTAGCAAATTCCCGAAAGACGGAATCGATGCAGTAGATGATGCTGTACCTTCGTTTACAGAAGTCTAATAACAAATTGATAGTGAATTGATAATTATAATCCATATAATTTTATCGATGGCTTGCAATTATTTATAGAGTAGCAGGTAGATAATTTGGGAAATTAGTTTTTATAATATATCTTTTCTATTAATTTTATATGTCGTTAGAAAATAAAAGACATTTTTATCGTCATTTTTATATACAGTATAAAATAAATAATTTATTTTAAAGAAATAAGAAAAATTTGATGCAATTTTTGTAAGCTCAAACTTCTTAATAAATAGAAAGCACGGAAATTTATTAGTAACAAGAGTTTTCTTGCATAACAAAATTTCATAATTAAGG